AGCCATGCCTGCTAGCAGTTGAGAGGAAGCCATACGCATAAGGATTCAGCACCGCCCGACAAGGCGCCTTGCAAGTGACGGGCTCATATTGTAGCAACGGAGAGTCTGGCTTCTCCTTGAGGGGTGTGTAGACGGCACCGATGGGGACAACAAGGCGGGATGCTTCCTGTCGAAGCATAAGTTAGCAGATATAGGGAAGAGGGTTCCATAGATCTGACGAACCATGCGAGAGCTCGGAAACGTGTTCCAGCTGAGTCTGATGCCATCGCGATCCTCGACATCACTCCATTGGTCCTTCAACGCTTCGTAGTCCATGTTGGCGGCCTGGGGGGAACGGGATTCCGTAACTGGAAGATAACGAGGGGAGGTCTAATCGGGCAGGAACAAGGCCAGAAATAACAAATTCAAACAACACAGACCGGTTTGCAGGAGGTCCCTCCTATATCACAACCCAGTCACAGTATGGGCAACGCCAGCAGCTGTTGTCCGGAGACTATGCGGGGATCAGGAGACTGTTGTGTGAAGCGGCACCTGTTGCCATAAGGCCAGGTTGCAGCATCACCGGTCGCTGCGGGCACCCGTACACCGCGCTAGTGCGCTTTAAATACCCGCTCCTCTTCCCTCCACAACATTTTTTCTTCTTTTTCTTTCCAAATATTCTTCACAACGCCGACTCCTTTCATTTTCTATGGCAGCTTCCATCCACCCAGTTGGTGATTTTGTCTAAAGTGTCGAGCGAAGAGTAAATTAGACCCGTTGCTGGGCACCTGGCTTTGAAAGGACGTTTTGTTCCTTTTGGATAATCTGGGAATCAGCTGTGGTCATATGCCCTTCTATCACCGCTACTATAGTAGATTTACGATTTACGTGTAAAAAGAGCAATTGATGTGCGCTCTGTATTAAATGTTTCGGTGCATTCCATGCTCTTAATTTATACATAAAATATCTACCTATGAAATGTGGGATCAATAGCGTCTACCCATTTCCAAAAACAGCCTGACCCGGAACGCCCGCATGGTGGAATATCCGCAAACCGACAACAAAAATGCAAGAAAGGAACGTGGCTTCGTGGACCTATCAGTGATGTTAGGCATTCTTTGGTGCCTTCCCCATTTGCTTCAAGAGATAGCTGCGCTTGAAGTAGGTATTGGGGTGCACGATGGTGTCGAGGTCAGTTTGGTTCCATGTACCGTCTTCCTTCACTCTCTTGATATCTGCTTTGTGGGTATGTTCGAAGACCCTGTTGCAAGCAATATGGAAACGCATCTTCTCAACATCCTCTCGCACTCCACGTAGGACGTCTCTGTCATTGACTCCTGTGGACTGAAGAAGACCGATCAAGTTATCGACAGAGAAGTGGCGGTACGGACAGCCATGGGTCTGTCCGACTCCCGGATTCGAGTCACCCAAGATCTTCTGGCAGGAGTACGGAGGGTATCCCCGGCCTCTGCGGTTCTGATCACCGCCCACATCGCCGTAAGCGTGGCGGATATTGTACTTGTACCGCGAGTTGAATTCGTCGTCAGTGAGCCCTTTGAAGCCTTGGCGCCAGAAAACAATGCACTCTTCCAGCGACAGCCCAATTCCTTTGAGGAAGAGGGTATATTGCAGTCGTCCGTAGTGCTTCAAGTGGTTGTTCTTGCGTAGGTTCATGTGAAGACTGCGCATGCATAGTGGGAAATGCTGAGATAGTCGATCGATGTTGTTCGCAGTGATCGGGGCGCCATCAACAAATCCCTCGTTTTCCGTGTATACCGACTCGGCACTTCCAAAGTTCTTCGAGAGGTGATTCAAAATTGGAGTGAGGCGATCATCTTCATCCAAGCGCGGCAACGCCCGACTTGTGAGCTGGGAGATGTCAGTACCATAAAACAGTCCATATCTACTGCTCTGACATACCTCAAGAGCGCGCTCCAATCGAGCCGTAAATTCTGCTATGATCATGCTCAATTGCTCCCTACCGGGCACATATGCTTTCCCCTTGGATAGGAAAACAGCCCGTCTCTCTACCAACTCCGGGACTTTCTCCCAGTCCACCTTGTACCAGGTCTCATCATCAATGCGACGTAGACCCGGGGAAGCGGCGAGTAATTGTTCCGCCAGTCTCTGTTTTTCCTCATCATCCACAGGCTCCCAGTCCAGATTAAGGCTCTCGATGAAGGCGCGGCGTTCTCTGGTGTCGTCGCGTTGGAAGCGGAACCTGAAAAGCATAGTCTCTGCTCTCACGAAACGCCGACGGAGTTCCTCTGTGGCCGAGAATGCCAGGCGTAGAATAAAGTGAGAATAGTGATCTTTCTGGCGTTCATTCTTCAATCGTTGATCCGCAGCGCCGTTAGAGGAGGATGTGTTGGAGGATAGAGGGAGATATTTCTGGAGGTGAGGAGTGATATGCGCTTCGGTCTCTGCCGGCGACTTGTTTCGATAAGAACAGGCTTCAATCTCAGCCAAGACTGTCGAACATTGTGAGTATATATGATACACTAAGATCGGAGATTAAGTAACCTTTCAATCGATCAATAGCCCATTGCTCAAATTGTTCGAGAGTGATCTCGTCGGTCGGGGGGACCTCATAGAAGTTTAAGCGATGCGGATAGTCCTGTTGCTTGAAGACCGGGGTCGCGAATTGTTTCTTTTTGTGGTCGAGGGTTGCCCTTCTCTTCGGGTCAATTCTGCGGAAGTCTTGCCGGATCATCTTGTTTTTTTTCCAACAGCGATATGAACGCTATTGAGATGCTCAGCCGTTGCTTGATCCGCTGCAGTTCTGCAACACATGCTGGATGGCCTATCGCGCGACGGACGCGAAACGCGGCGGACACGCGCCATGATCACGTGATACACAAATTAATGTAAAGCTCGATTAGGACATGTCAACACCGCAACGGTGACAGCAGGGATACCGGCCTTATTTACAGTGTAAAGAGATTCACGAGTATGTACTGAGCTGCGTCTCAAACATACCATATGAAGCACCCGCTAGTGTCATACTCGAATAGGGAGATATTGCTTGGCTTTGCCAGTAATGTCATCACAGGCTCACAATGAAGCCTTATGGTTGCAATAGCCAATTCCATTCTTCTTCCCTCTGCCTGCTGGGTATCTGGTATCTGTAGTCCTAGTACCCTACACACCGTAGTTGCTACGCCCAATGGACGGAATGAATATACCAAGAAAGCCGAGGCTCCCTGTAGAGATACTACCCTATACTCTACGCCCACAAACAGATCGTAAACTTAGCATGTGAGACAGCAAATGTTGTCTGCCCCTCTGCATGATACTTGTCTTCGCCCGAATTCGGAGTTAGCTCTCCAAAAGAAGCAGTCAATTGCATTGCCAAAAGCCGACATCCCATGCGTCGGGAAACGCTCCGATCTCCGCTCACCGATTTCCTGAACAGGGAACCATCTACAAACCCCACGGAAGCGCGTGCTTTCCCCGGCTTAAGATTTGTCGACGTATCAGCTGAGCACCGACCTTGCCCGATAAGCTGCACGCACTATTATCTTCCTCTACCGGTCCTGCATTCCCTGTCTACACTTTGTTAACTGCTTCCCTATGCCGCAATGGAGATAATATAGTCTGCCCGCCGTTCCTCCACTTTCCCTAGACTTATTGTTGAGGTACCTACCTTCGCCCTACCTTCAACATATTCGACGACCCGGCTGCACCAGAGCACCGGACTACCTTCAACCCCGAGAACACTATATCGACAAATAGCATAATCGAGCAGCGCGCGAAATGACCGCCACAATCCGGCAGCTCAGAAAAGCAGCCCGGATTATTCTCATCGGTGCTCCTGGTGTCGGCAAGGGTACGCAAACTGAGCGGCTCCTCACCAGATACCCAGAGCTCGCCTCAATTAGCTCCGGCGACCTTCTTCGTGAAAATGTCCGGCGGAAGACACCTCTAGGTAAGTGATTCTGAGCTTTAAGACCTTGAGTTTGCAAAGTGCGTGGAAACCAGAATCTGTCTAACGATTTCCGCACCCAGGCCTTCAAGCAGAAGCCACAATGCAGTCCGGCAACCTTGTCCCCGACTCGATGATCCTCGATCTCATATCCTCTGAATTCAAATCTCGCGGCTGGCTTTCGTCAGCGCCGACTTCATCGATATTGCCCTCTGCATCTTTTATCCTGGACGGCTTCCCGCGCACCGCGACCCAGGCCTCAAGCCTAGAAACCATCGTCCCCGTGAATTTCGTCGTCCACCTCGTTACACCTCCTTCCGTCATTCTCTCTCGCATCGCGTCGCGCTGGGTACACGAACCGTCCGGGAGGGTTTACAATACCGATTTCAATGCGCCTAAAGTTCCTGGTAAGGACGATGTCACAGGAGAGCCTCTGACTCAGAGAGAAGATGACTCGATCGATACGTGGAAGCAGCGATTGCACAAATTTGAAGAGACGAGCAAGGCGTTGCTAGAACATTATCAGCGCAAGGGCTGTTTGTGGCGTGTCGAGGGCGACACAAGCGACGAGATCAGCCCGAAGCTTTTCGCAGAGATTGAGCGGCAGTTCTGCTAGAATTCCTTCTGCTAGAGATTTTACACCTGATGGTCTTCTATCCCTCGCCCCCGGTCCTATATACCTTCTTGTACTATATATCGGTTATATCCTGATCCTTGTGTTTGTTGGCGTCGCATTCCTGCAGTCCTAGAAGGGCAGCAGATGGGGACACTGCTTTTTTGTACCACTTCTTCACCCAGAGACAGCTGACATTTTTCGTGGACGAGTTAACCTAATGATCAGTCTAACGATGTTAATGAGTGCTGCAACGGTGGATGACCAGACTATTATCTATATCTTTCCGAATATACAACCAAAAGATTAGCTGCGCAATGCAGAGACATACATAACGACAAGGATATCTATCAGTATCAGCCGTATCATCATCAGAACTTATGCATCATGCAACCACCCCCCCAAAGCACACGAACGCCTCCGATTGCAAACTAAAAGCACAACACAATCACCAATATCAACAAAGAATAAGTAGAAGCCACCCTACTTCTTCCCATCCCCCACATCTTCCATCCCCGTCCTAGTCTTAAACTCCCTCGGACTCTCCCACGCATCCCTATTCTTCTTGAACCCCTTCCACAGCCCCAACCCCCTCGCCTTCGCCCACCACTCCGCACTCCGATACTTCTTCTCCATCACCTCACCCCCAAACTCCGCCCCAACCTTCGCCTCATACACTGTTGCCAACCCCTTCCTCAACATCTCATACCCGACATCGCGCCTGCGAAACGGAACCGGGAAATCCAGCGCCCGCCGCACAAACACCGTCGCCACCACACGCTGATACTGGTCCTGTCGATGCACATATATCCGCACGCGCCGGTTTATCAAGTACCCCGTTAGCCACTCGTGTGCTTCTTTGCCGAAGGGTTGCGCGGGGCGTCCGAAGTGCGCTTGTTCGGGGGCGTCGACACCAGCTATCCGGACATGGATCTATTTAATTTCATTCTGATGTTAGAAATATAGTCTCCGGTAGCATAAACGTAGATGAAAAAAAAAAAAGTGGGGAGGTATACATACAGTCTGATCTCTCAATTCCTTCCGCGTCGTGGGAACCTTCTTCCAGGGTACCCAGCCCCAACCCGCGAGTCTTCCGCCGGGTGTATGATAGATGCGAAAGTTGTCGCCGTCACCGACGCTGGTTACTTTTCCCAGGATGCTGCGGCGACGGTAATATGCGGGCGTGATGTTGACTGCTGTGGGGAACCGGCGGAGGTAGTTCCGGTGCAGGGTGAAGGCGCTGAGGATGCCGGTTGTGAGGACTAGAGTTGGGATGAGGGTGCGGAGTTCGGTGAAGGCGCTCCAGTCGAGTAGGTTCTTGGGGTCATTGTTGTTCGTGGTGGTAGGGTGGTCATTGTTGGAGGCTTGCGTGTTGGAAGCCCATGGCGGCCATCGCATGACGGCTCATGCTAGGACTTTCCGCTCCGTATCTTTCCTTTGGGGTTTGCGCGGTGATGGCGCCGCTTTGGAGGGGAGGGTGCGAGTGGGTGTATAAGATTTCGGAAATTAGTTTGGGGAGAGTTTCTGGGTTCGATGTTTATTCGGGCCGTACGTAGATGAGCTGTTGCCGAGGTGAAAGTTTGGCGGTCAGTGAGCTCCATTTGCCCCGGGGTCGGAGGAGTGGTCTGCATATGGTAGTTATCTACGATTTGAGAATCTCAATTATTGGTTTTACGAGAGTGCGCTGATACCCCTTATGTGATTTTGGGGTACAGCACAGTCAGTTAGTCCCTTGCCGCAGTGCGATGATCCTTTTGATGCTATTGTATGTTCTAGATATCATGCTGTTATTATCTATAGACAACTGCAGTAGTATCTTCGGTCATACCAGAAACTGACAGGACAGGCGAAATCCCACAACCAGTGCGCCGCAGTGAGAATAAAAACAAATTCGTACAATAAAAATGGTAGTTACCGAGCCATAAATCAAAATCAATCAAACGTCTATTTGAGGGTCGCCGGAAGACTGGTCTTCGCTGTCGATGCAGCAGAGTCCGCCAGCTTCTTGAGCTTCTGCTCTCTAATCTTGCGCAGGTATGCGAAAAGAAGAACGAAGATGAGTTCAACCCTGGTCGCTGTCAGCATGTGATTGCGCCCCTTAATCAAGACCAAACATACCTCTCCTTAGTCATCATCAAAAGGCCTTGCACAAGGAGTCCCTTCATGATCTGGGGTCCAATTCCCTTGAATAGGGACAGGAGACCCTCGTTCTGCACAATATAGCGCATAACTTCGCCGAATGTCTTGAAAGGCTTTCCTTCGCGGCTCGGAGGTGGGCGGGACTGGAGGCCGACCTTAGCCACGATCAATGGCTGCGTCGCGATAGTAGCTAGCGCCTTGGAGAGAGCGCCGAGGACTGCAAAAGTCATTGGTTTGGCTCGTAAGATATGGACGGTAATAGGGTTACTTACGGAAAGCCTCCCAAGGCTTCAGACTGTTCTTGCCTGGGAAGATGATATCTTTGAGGCGCTGATAGGCGCCGTATGTGATTGCAGGGTTGACCACCAGGATCAAACTAGCTTTGAGTCCTCTCCATAGACCGGTCCAACCATCTTCACTATCGACAATCTCCTTTCCAGTTTCAATCAAACCCTTCCTCTCGTTTTTGGCTTGTGTCTGCTGCCGTGTGGTGATTACGGCGACGGGAATAGTGAAGATCTGGGCGACCGCGCCCGCCACGGCACCGAGGGAAAGCTCAATGGCAGTTCCAGGAGGTTTAGGGACCTTGTTAGATGCCATATAGAAGGCCCTCACAACGGTGTACCAGTAGAAGTAGGCGAAGTTGGTGGACGCCACACCGATGAGTGAGCCAACGATTCCGGAGTATAGGCCTTCGACTCCTTCCTTTTCGACAATCTTGGTGATCGCATCTAATGTCGATTTATAGTGAACTGTTTCGGAGTTCTCGTCTTTCGCGTCGTTTGTCTTAACTTGTACTTGAAGCTTCGTCTTGACTCTGTGGATTGACGCATGGTTATTAGCATATTCTTTGTTTCCAGTTCTAAAGCGACAACAGGCACTTGCATACAGATCGAGAGGGTAGACCAAAGCGTTCGCTAGAACCGCACCTGTAGCACCTGCAACGGCACTTCCCCAAGGGGAAAGTGCGGGCTTCGACTGGCCTGCCATTATTGTAACGAGATGGTATATTTGGTGGATTGAATGGATGAGGTATTTGGCGTAATGATAATTGCGAGAAGAATATCGACCAGCGTCCCAAACCGTTTATGATACACTTTGACCGAAATTCCAGTATCGGACTTATTACCTGAGAATAATATGGCGGTGCGGAATAATAATTGGCGATATTTCGGAGCGGGGACTCCCAGGAGAGTCTAGCAGCTCAGTGTGTGTGGAATGATCGGAGGGTGACAGGCTGTCTAGACTGTGTGAGGGGACTCTGGCGACCGCAGTGTTCACAGTTTGAAGCGATCACAGACAAAGCGTTGTCGAGTGCCTGGTCAGTGACAGACAAAACCAGAAGCCCGGCAAGCAGCACTATGAGAGCAGGGATACTCCGAACAGGCAAGACAGGCAGATGAACCTCGGCGCAGTGATGGCGCGCATGACGAAACGAGCCTCGGTCCGATGGCCGGCCTGTTGATCGTTATCACTTTGGGTCACCCACAGTTTCCTGCCCACTGCCGACTCTCCCCACCGACACGCGACGCTATCAACTCCATACTATTCTAGTACCACCATTCATCGGTACGCCCGCCACCATTCACGTTGTGCCTGTTCACTGTTGCATTCACGCTGGATCTTCGTGACTAAGCATATAAAGTTCCTTATCTTGGGTTGGCTGGTAGTGCACGTTCCTCTTGTCTATTGCTTGGGTCTGGCGCAATCCTTAACGTTGTGGACCTCGGATGTCATCATCGGAGATACTACGGTCCCCTTCGGCATGATCATCAAGTAGTGTGGTACTGCATCACATCTGATAGGTGCTAGCCGAATCTGTAGTACTTGCAGAGAGGCTGGTTCAGCAGAATGTCTAGACCGAACGCCGCGTCTAAAAAGTTCTTAGTGAACCAAGCCTTGGTAATTATCTCACTCTTTCCTACTTACCACTTGATGTCGATCACCACAATAAAGGTTCTTCGGACTAACCAGTAGCCAGAAAGCCGAACGAGATGCATCTAGTGCTCTTACTCAAGGCCAGGCCCTTGAGTCTGCCATTGACGCCGCTGAAAACTACATGAAGGCGCTGAGTCTGACTACCGAGTCAAAGGATAGACAGGCTCTCGATGCTAAATGTAAAGAATGGCTCACTCGAGCAGAAAGGATCAAACAGGACAAGGACTGGCAGGCGGTTCTCCAAATTCATGAGAAAAGCGGTCTCACGGCGCGTTTCCCCAAATCCACACGTAAACTTACCACCCGAGAAGAGATCATTCTGCTCGAGAGCGCAAAGCTGAACGGCTTTATCTTTCCTCCATGGGAAAATGCGCCGGGCCCCGAGGACTTTGAGAAGGGCGATGAAGGCCTTTTCACGTAAGTGTACTCTAGTCCCTGATGGTGGAGGCTTCGTCAAATGTTGATGTCCAATTGCTGACTGGATCCAGTGACAAGCCAGACCTTCATCTGTCTAAACTGCAAAGGCGCATTCTGGCAGGCTGGGAGCGTCCCTTTGATTTGTTGTCCAAACATGCAAATGGTATCGATGGCCTGAAGTCAAAAATGCCTGTAATGTCGGTCTCGGGCCCCACAGATCTCGTACAAGATATGTTGACCGACTGCTCCGTCGTTGCCAGTCTTTGTGCTGCTACATCAAGGTCCGAGCGTGGTCTAGATAAGGTATGAGAAATATCAACGTGACATTTTTGCAAGACACAAGTGTCTAATAATTGCAGCACCATCTTCCCATAGTCTTCCCCTGTGAATACGGGCAGGTAAATCCAAGAATTTCTCCTTCTGGGAAATACATTTTTCGCTTTTATTTCAATGGATGTTTCAGGAAAGTTGTCATTGATGATCGCTTGCCTGCGTCCAAAACATCAAGATCACTTCATGTTGTCGATCGGAACCATCCTAACTTCCTATGGCCGGCCTTTGTAGAAAAGGCATATCTGAAACTTCGCGGGGGTTATGATTTTCCTGGGAGCAATTCTGGTACAGATCTGTGGGTCTTGACAGGTTGGATTCCCGAGCAGGTTTTCCTTCATCAAGATGATGTGACTGCAGAGCAACTCTGGAGACGGCTATTCAAACGCTTCCGTAATGGCGATGTCCTACTGACGATAGGTACGGGCAAATTAACCGAGAGGGAGCAAAAAGAACTAGGCTTTGCGAGCGAACACGACTACGCTATTTTGGATATGAGAGAACAGAGAGACCGTCGCCAAATGCTTGTAAAGAACCCATGGGCAGGTGATGATGCGATCACCGGAGATATTGCAGACAGTTTCGCACTTGGACACACATCTCACACCCCTGCGTCCTCTTTACCTAGAACATATTGGATGGATTGCGAGAGTGTCCTTCAGAATTTCGAGAATCTGTATCTGAACTGGAACCCGGGAATCTTTCGCTATCGGGAAGATATCCACTTCGCATGGGACCTTTCGACTGCCAGAGGGGTGGCTGGCTGTTTCGCGAAAAATCCTCAGTTTGCTGTCACCTCTGAGGTTGGCGGCAAAGTTTGGCTACTACTTGGGAAGCACTTCAGGTCGATTCATCATGACGAACAAACTCAGGTGCCCCAAGACGATCTGGAACCAGGATTTATTAGTATCTACGTATTCAACGCAAACGGGAAACGAGTGGCATTGAGTGAAGGCGCTCTTCATCGTGGACCATACGTTGACTCGCCAAATACTCTCATGAGACTTGAAATGCCCCCAGGCACGACCTACACTGTCGTTGTGTCCGAGCAGTCATTGCCCGCTGTCAGCCAGAACTTCACATTGTCAGCTCTTTCCGACAACCCTTTACTCTTGGCGCCTGCTCAGAACCGATACGCTTGCCTGACAAAAACTCAGGGATTGTGGATGCCCTCCACGGCAGGAGGAAACGCCGAATCTGCCCGTTACCCTTTCAATCCCCAGTTCCGACTAGAGGTTCATGACGATACAGATATCTCCATCCTGCTGGAACCATCGGAGCCGGAGCTCGCTACGCATGTCAAGTTATTCTGGTCCAATGGAGAGCGTGTGACTAGGGTTCGGAATCGCGATATAATCACCGATAGCGGTGACTACCGGCGTGGCGGGTCTCTTGCGGAAAAAAAGAGACTTGGCGAAGGAGTGTACACTCTCGTCTGTTCAACTTTCGCCCCGGACCAGCTTGGACGATTCACACTCTGGATTTCGTCAGCACTACCGTGCGTCGTTAAGCCGCTTGCGCCGGAGGCAGCTGGGCGACGGGCGGTCATATCAGATATTGGAATCCTGACTCCTGGAAAAGATCGGATGCTGGCTTCCTTGGAGACCAAGCGCTTGACCCGCATTAAACTGATAGGACGGAGCAGACTGTCTACGATCGGGAATCGCGCCGTTGGCCCGTCCCCGATGTTGATGACAGTAGAGCTGGGTCAAGGGCCGTACAAAGAAATACTGGCTACCTCTGAAGATGGAAACCACAGTGATGCGATATCTGGAGTACGAATTGAGGATTTCGATCTGCATCCGGGTCTCGCAGATCAGGGTGGGGCCTGGATAGTCATTGAGAGAATCGGGGGACCTGGGGGACAAGTTGAGGACCACTTTGAAGTTGAAGCTTTGGCCGAGGAGCGGGTGGATATCGGCGAATGGATCGTCGAGGATGCATGATGGATGGTTTTCTATTGCTTGTGGCGGAGGGTGCTTTGTGGGACTGGCATGGGTTAACCGGCGTGGGAAACGGCGTGAAAATACGTGATATCCATCGTTTAGAAACTAGCTACAATTTTCGGTCAGAAATGAATGCCACTTATTATGTAATAAAGGTGATTGAATTGATTCTAAAAGAGAGAATTTTATTTCGAATGGTGGGAGAGAATGTAGTATTTTGTACAACAATGGATCGACCATCCCGATAAAGCCCAAGTCAGGAACGCTAGGCCGACCCGAGGCCAGCTTGGCGCAGTTCCACCTCCAACGTCATCCCCGCCCTGCATTGTGCATCTTTCTCCTGCATCCTAACCGTTGCAGCTCTGACCTCCTGGACGTCCGCGTCCCACCCAACCCTATGGCGAGCAATATCCCCGCTAGCTTGAGATCCGCAGACATTGGGCGATACGCGTTGCGGGCAGCTCAGCTCGAACGCGCGAAGCCCGTTGTTGCCTACTGGTGTAAGTGCTGTTGATTGCGCATGCTGCTGCTCAAACAGAAGCCACATGAACTGACTAACGGTTGCTTCTCAATTACAGGTAACTTCTGGATTGTTAATCAGATTATCGGACGGGGACTGCACACTTCTGACGACGATGTCAAGCAATACACAACGGACCTGGTGGACAAGTTGGAGCAGGTACGTCGGGCGCACGACACCCCCGCTGCGATGGCGCGCAGTCCCTGGAGACTTACACCTCTTCTCTCTGAGTTCAGTTCAAGAGTGAGAATGTCGATAATGATGCGGTAACCGATGCGGTGGCAGCCAATGCCTACGTGGAGCAGTTCGGATTGGAGGTCCTTGGCCGTGCGGAGGCGACTATGAAGGCCAATAAAGTGACCAAGTGGGTTGTTTTCGTGGGAGACTATCCGCACCACCGCTGACCCGTAATTAGACAGACGGCCGACACATTCCAAGCCGCTGCTACGTTTCTCGAATTGTGTCAGATTTGGACCAACCCTCCGGAACCTGAGATCGCCGCGAAGATCAAGTTTTGCAAGTACCATGCCGTGAGGATCATAAAGGCTATCAAGGCGGGAGAGGATCCTAATGCGTCCAACCCGGCACCTACTGAAGAAGATGAACTCGAAAGTGAACTTAGGGGTATGGAGGCAAAGCAGGACGATCCCGAAGTGCAGGCCATCGTGGGATCGTCAGCCGCACCACCTGGGCAGCCTTCTGTTGAAGAGGTCCCTGATGAGTCTACACAACCCTCACAATCACCCCTTAGTCTCCCGCAACCTCCGACCACGTTTGCCGATGCTCCAGCTGCTCACTACGGTGCAGACCCCATGTCTACTTCGAACATGGAGGACGATGCGGAGACAGGCGCACCGCTGAACCTTCCCTCGGCTCCAGAGACTTTCACTTCACCTGCTCCCTCCGTGCCCAACCTCCCAGATACGCCCGCGGATATTGGTGCAAAACCTCCGCAAGCTCGTGCTGACTCGTTCCACTCTTTCCCTCCCCCGTCATCCATTCCGCCTTCGAGCCCGTCGGCAGCATCTCACGATGCAAGCTCGTTCTACACCAGACCGACAAGCGGTGTCGCTCCGCCTCCACCGTTTGTACAGTCTTCCTCTGCGACAGCACCTGTAGTTTCTCGCCCTACTCCTCAAAGTATCCCGTCATCCACACCACCTCCACCTGCACCTGCCGCTTCTAGTTCCAGTGGGGTGAACGCTCAGTCACTTGACGATCAAGCTATAGCTCTTGCTCAGAAGCATGCCCGCTGGGCCGTGTCAGCCTTGACATTCGACGACGTCAACACCGCGATTAAAGAGCTGAAGAATTCACTGCGTTATCTCGGTGCAGAGTGAAATGATGTGAGATGAGTGTCTGGGACTGACGTATTTGAAAGCTGAGAAGCATAGAAAAACCCTAACCTGACTAAGCCATGAATATCAAGACCATATTATGACAAGAGCTCATGCTACATCCAACCTGATAGTGTACAGTAATGATGATGGACCACTTCAAGTCTTTTCAACAATGTAGTTCCTCTTATACGATATCGTATCTTCGTTCCTCACCCATTTCCTGCCTATACTTGACTGTTGCACCTAATAGGTCCTCTGCCCAGCATCTTCAGCGTCTATTGCCATGGTCCGCAAGCCTACGTGTTCCTGGCCTAAGTCAAGAGCTAGTTTAGAGTCGAGTTCGACCTGGCTCAAATGCCCAAACAACCCTGTCTGCAACATGATATTGACTATGATCGTACATTGTTGTGCAACACTATCAAAGAGTCGGTTTTCTAAGCAGGCTGTATTTTCCTGTATTTAGTTCATTCTCCGATTAAATATCTCTCACTCTCACCTCTGCTTTTAAACAAGCACCGAAACACCCCCACATCGCTATAGCGACGAATTTCACTCGTATTCACTTCACCTCTCAGCACTACATACTATATAAACACGGCAAGAGCACGCGTCTTCTTACCTACCTTTGCTCCCTCCGTCCTATCCTCCCCGCGTCTTCTTCTCTTTACTACCTCTACATCCAAAATACACTGACGCCTCATGTTCCGCTCTCTTTCAACTTACCCCTTCAAGTCCTCAAAGCAGAACTCTGCTCCAGACCCAGGCACCAACACCATCATGTCTTCTCCCTCAAGCCCTGCCTGCTCCAGCAGTGGTGCAGAAACTATGAAAGAGCTTCTAGATCGCGGTGAAGTCAAGGCTTCTTGGCGCGATAAGCAGTTTGTTCATTTCCTGGATCTCAAGGAAGAGTACGGCCGAGAGTTCCTTAATCTGGTGAAAGAACACGTTGAGCCTAACAGATTCGAATGGACCGATATCCTCACCTCTGAGAACGAACGACGCGCCTGCGCCAAGGATTTTGTTGCGCAGTACGGTCTGAAGTACTGGGGCACTCCGGCGAATAGAAAGAAATATCTCCAGGAAGAGTCCCTTGCGGATGAGAAGACGCTTTGCACTTATCCCGCTCAGAGTGAAGAGTAGGTTTTTGTCTCCTTTCTTTATCTACTTCCCTTCATTTGTCGTTATTTCTCTTTTTCTTTTCCTCTTGTCAGGGCCGATCCCAAAGTGCGCTTTTACTAGGGACGGAGTGCCTACCTCCTAGCAACACTATCGTGCAAAAGACTAGAATGCTGAGCCATCAGACTCAGTACGCGTATTCACTATACGCTTGCTTCTAGCCCCTTCTACGGGAGGCCCTAGGGCTTGTCAAACTTCTTTCTTTCTCTCTTTTTCTATGATGGATTACACTCCCGGATGATCTGGCTGTGCTAATCATTGCGTAGGATCGTTCGAACGATTGAGATTCTGTTGTTAAGGAAGGCGAAGGGCTACTCCAGACTAAGCCAGGAGAAGGCAAAGGTCTGCTTAATCGTTTCTAGTTCATATTCTGAACGCTTTCCTTCAGTACTAACATGTTTTACGGAACGTTTAGTCAACACAACTGACTAAATCACCCTTTGAAGCCGGGAACACGAGCAAGAGAAAATCTACTCTCAAGGAGACAGACGAAGACACCGACAAGCCCGTGTACAAGACGCGGACCCGCAGTACCCCGAGCGCCATTCGGCCGTTCAAGACTATTGTCTGTGAATCTGAACCCGAGGCTGAATTCCAGAGCAGTGCGGCAAAGAAGACTAAGAAACAGCGCACTTCTCTAGCTAGATGCTACACGGGAACCCCAGAGGTCCAGTTGCCACCCTCGAGAGGGAAGGACGGTATGTCTGCTCCGCATCAGGGCACGTTTGTACACCGTGCTGCTTCTCAATATGCGAAAAATACCAAGTTTCCTGCTACGGAGGGCAGTCAGAGTGTGATAGCTGCTGCTCAGTATGCACAGGATACCAAACTCCTTGCTACGGAGAACAACCACATCGGAACGACTGCTTCTCAGTATTTCAAGGATACTAAGTTTCTTGTCACGGCGAGCAACCAGGTTGGAATGGCCCCAGTGTGGCTGCCATTCACGGATTTCGATCAGGCAACGGAGTTCCTGGAGCACATGGCGAAACAATGCAACGTGATGGAGTGGAGCCCCTCAGAGCAATTGAAGTGGGAATCGATGCCGCCTCAGGTCATCGCAGCGTCGGTCAGGTTTGACTGGTCAGACTTTGAGATCCGCGTGCGTCGAGAGCGTAATGAGGATCTGCTCCTTATGTTGCAAGAGTTGTCCAATGCCTGGCAAGCCGAGGATGAAGGAAAGGAGGGCGCCTCGGGATCGGTCTACAAGATCAAAGTGATGCTTCACATTGGCATTTGCTGATCGTACCCACATGCTTGATATCTGTACCTTTCTTCCATACTGGAGTTGGATTAGTGCATGTCTCCTGTCTTGAAAGAGCAATGTTTACATTTGTACCCGGTTAAAACCCTGATAACTGTTTTACTTAAGAAGGCCTAGAAGACAAAAGACCAAATAGTATGGTAGAGCTAAGCTCTTAGTAACCTAACAGTCCCCAACATCTAGAACTTGAATCCGGAAGCTGGCAAATCCCGTGAAGAGATAGTATCAAATCCCGTAGAGGTATGACTAGTGGCAAATACTCGAAAGTGGAAATGTTAACCATCTTAAAGTACAAGGCTTTCGGCAAAGAAAGAGAAGATTTCCCCGTTGTGGGTACGATTGTGAGATTGACATGATTTGATCCCACCACCCCTACTGATTATAACTTACCCCAGAGTTATGTATTGAAGTCAGTGTCACCAGGTGTATCATGGTATTGGTGGGGATAATTTTTCCGGTAGCACATTGTTGTCACATGTTATTGTCCTCCTTCAGAAAAGCCATAACACGGATAGATATGTGGTGAGGAAAGAGGCCTTAGTCTGGAAGCGGGCAAGCAACCATGTGCATAGCATAATGATGGTGTGGTGGCCAGGTTTGTTTTAGAATTCCAGCTACTCCTTTAGTTGCATGAAGTGCACGGCAGTAGCGTAGGATAGCTAAGTCCAGCACGAACCACGGGCTGACGATCGGCCACGGTCCATGGTACAGCGAAGCATATCGCCTGGGGAAGAAGAAAAAAAAGGAAAAGGTCGGAGAATTAACGGCAGGCTTTTGACGTCAATTCCCTTCCTTCCTTATTTCCCTTTGGCCCAAAATAAGTAAGTATTTGCAAATGCCGAGGCATCTCTGATCCTTTCTGAAGGATTGGGGGGTTTACGTGGACATTGTACACCGACCTCATTGTCGGCAATGACATGTAGAACCATTCGCATCATCTTCAGCATCATTATTGGCGGCGTTGTAGCAGATGCTATGCTAGAATCGAATAGGCCAGCATTGCCGTAGAGCTTGGCTTGTCTCAATTGGGTAGGATATGGGGCGAGCCATGATAACCCCGTCGAGAAAAAAGATCCATTCGCAGACGAAAGCACGAAGCGCATTTGGAATCGCGCGCCGACTAGGCTCTCTCTTGTCCGTAAAACTTGGAATCAAAGTCAATAGCGCCCGCTTTTACATTTCGACCACCGGGCTTGTCACTGCCGGGAATAATCGCCGGCAATGGTGGAAGGAGAGCAGTGCTTAGATGCCTTTCTGGAGGTGACAGTGAGCGGCTTTGGCTTTGACCTTTCCCAACCAACCAGGGTGTGGTTGGAAATAGTCAGATGCCGAAGCTATGCGCAGGAAAGGAACTAACTGCGCGACGCACAATAATATTAATGATCTTGGAACGATTCCCCACCAGCCCTGACTCGTAATATGAGACGCAGATCATTTGATTATTCCCTGTAGGTGATCACACACTTGCCTTCGCGCTGCTTCCTTCTGGCCGTGTCGCGATCACTTTTCGGGCTTTAGGAATGATACGTCCGCCCTGTTGTGGTGGCGAGTGATCGTCTGCTTATTCTGGACCTTTCATGTTCCGAAGGGATTCGCGTCTTTCGAATCTTCCTGCAGTACCTCCTCTCTTTGTTCCTCCACCACCCCCCTACCCTCTAAGCCTCTTAGCCTCTTAGGCCTGCTGCTACCCACTTAAGCGGCGGGACTATGATCGGACGGTGTCCCTGAAGAACGGAAAACGTCCCACAACGCGCGCTTGGCAGGGGAGGAGATGAAGAATTAATTTGTCGGCTCTGGTCGGGTCTCCCGAGGACTCTAAATTTTCCACTACTGTACGAGGGAATAATCAAGCGGGAACATCCACCGTGCTGGCGAAATTTCTAGACGCAGCGCTAGCGGAGTTCGTTCGGCGTACGCTTGGGTTCGTAAGGAAGACTTTCACTTGCGCTTCCGGTCGTCCAGCGTTATCCGCGGTAATTATGTTTTTTAGACTCCGGGAAATCAAGGGTGACAATGATAACGAAGGATGGAGCTTGGTTATAGTAAATGAGGAGTTGAGCCAGAGCTAACGTTGTAATATTGCCATTTGAAGGATAGTGTGTAGGGAGGGGTTACCTGAGGCCGGTTATAGTCAGTTAAGTGCATTCGCCATCTGGCACCCTCGGTGAGTTAGTTCTAAGTTTCTCCTTGAGAGTGGGAGACCATTTTAGCCGTCAGATAAGAGGAAGGGAGGAAGGGTACCAGCAACAAGAGCATCATCGTTTCCGACTTCTGGGGAGTGTCAAAAGAGGGCACCTGTCTCAGCCGGGGACGATAGTGGACAGTGTAGTGCAGCCATGGTCAAGCCATGACAGGTTTAAGGCTATGACTATGATTTGTTAGCTCGTTTCTTTATCTACCTAGCTTGGAGGGAGTGTATGACGAGATTCCTGAAGGAGGAGAGTGGACTGAAACTGGGACTGGGACTGAAGTTGATCTGAGCGAGAGCAGGTGATTCTGATAAATGGTTTTAATCCCGGAAAAGGATCATCCTCTGCTCCTCCTGCTCCTCCTCCTCTTCTCTCCTCTTACTTCTTCCCATTCTTCCTCCCGCTTCCTCCTTTTCTTCCTCCCCTTTAAGACCTCCGTGTGGAATTTAACTCAAACCTTTCGGTGACTTCCTGCCGTCGGCAAATACATCAGATTAACTGCCTCCGAGCTCCTTTCTTGTCCCTTACTTGGTGATCCTCTCTGCTTCCCCTCCCCCTTTTCCTCCCCGCATTCTTCGATTTTGTTCGCGCTCGGGTGCGGGGTGTCAATACAGCCAGCAGTCCACAGATCGCATCGAGGCTACTAGAAGAGAAAGTACCACAGAGTGGTCCTATCTTGGTTTCAATCTCATTACTTTACCCTTTTCCTCCCACAATGGCCGACGAACAGAGCAAGAAGCCGGCCGTCCTGATCGTTGGTGGTTTAGGTATGCATCCCCCCTCTACCCCCCTCCCCGATATCCAGGTTATCCTCGCTAACATACGGGTTTCTATCTTATAGGATTTATCGGTCGCCATCTCGCTCTCTACCTGCATGAAAATAACTTGGCCTCGGAAGTCCGACTAGTTGACAAGGTCCTGCCTCAGCTGGCGTGGTTGGCCCCTGAGTTCCAGGAAGCTTGCTCAAAAGATAAATTCGTCCAGGCTGATGCCAGCCGTGAACGTGAGTGCCCAAAACCTATTGTCCTAGCCGACCAGGAGAATTTTTTTATTTTTTTTTTTTTCCTTTGCTTTTTTTTTCCTAACTTGCGCCTTGAAACTCAGAGCACTTCCCTCGTATCTTTGACCGTGCCAATGGTGAACAATTTGATTATGTGATCAACTGTGGAGGGGAAACCAGGCATTCGCAACCCGATGACGTCTACGAAGTCCGCAGCTACGCCCTCACTGTCGCCCTGGGTCGCGAAGTCGCCCGCCGAGGTATCCGCTCTTTCGTTGAGTGCTCAACCGCTCACGTCTACAAGGGCGGCTCAAGTCCGCGTAAGGAAGATGACAAGCTGCAGCCGTGGCACAAGCTGGCCAAGTGGAAGATGAAGGCCAGCGAGGAGCTGCAAAAGATTCCAGGTCTTAACTACTGCTTGCTTCGTCTGCCCCACGTCTACGGAGAATACGACTCGGGCTACTTCGCAATGGGAATCTGCCTTGCTCGCGTTCACCTGGAGCTGGAGAAGGATCTGGAGCTTCTTTACACTAAGGATCTGAAGATCAACACCGTATATGTCAGGGACGCGGCCAGCGCCTTGTGGAAAGCGGCTGAATGGAGAGCAAGCGCTCCCACGGACGGTTCAGCGCCCCTTGCATTCAACGTGGTCGACCACGGCAATACTCGTCAGGAAGATATCGCACAGGCTCTGTCCGAGGTCTTCAAGCTCAAGTGTGACTTTTTGGGTTCTCTAGCTTCCCAGTTTGCGAAACTGAACCTCGACGATGTTGTAGATGACATGAACGAGGAATGCTTACAGGGGTGGGCTGATTTGCTCGAAGAGAAGAAGATTGAACGGCCTGGGCCCATTGGCCCGTTCCTGGAAAAGGATGTGCTGAAGGACCAAGACATGTGTCTGGATGGGACGCTATTCGAGACGACCACTGGGTGGAAGCCATCCCGAGAGCGCTTCAACGCTGATGCCGTACGAGATATGGTTGACAGTTACAAGCGAATGGGCTGGTGGCCATAGACGACCCAACACGTGATATTCCTATTCCCATGTTCTCGACCCGACCTCTATACGAGCATATCAGCGAGGTTGATGACGTATATGAGAGCTGTTCTACTCCCACCGTGCATGACCACGAATTGCCCCTCAGAACACAACTGACTCGACCTTACCCTCGGGCAAAAAAGCACATAGACCTGTCGCATCCGCATCCACTCATCTCAAGTTCGCATGTTGTATACCACGGACCGTTTCTGCATGTAATCTGTAATATTCTGTTTGGGTCTCTGGGTTTCCGTTCTTGAGCAACTGGTATGTTCTATATCCTTCTTGCATTTATATTTCTTCTGTCACTGGCTGGGGCTGGATGGTGTGCCTTTTTGATTATGAACATCATGCACATTTAGACTACTTTTATCTTTTTTTTATGTCACATTACATACACTATGGATAGGTTGAGCCTTGTCCTCGAATGTGAACCACAGACTGCCATCCCTCATGGTCGTCTTTTATCATTCATTACCTACATAATCCAGCTTGTCTCGCCTGCGTACTTTGGATGCATGCCCACCCACTGCCCTCTCACCCTTTCTCCTCTCACCCTCAACTCTGATATGTTCCCTGTACCCTTCACTTTTTCTCCACCTCCACGAGGCATGACAGAACTCTAGATGTTTGCTATAAGTGTGGTATGCCGATCGCTAGCGTTCAAAACCCATCTATCTTGAATTTTAGCGTTCAGAACCAGAATATAGCACCATCATATATCTACCTATCCCTTATATCACATGATTTGCAACAGGTCTTTCTGGTAGCATGGTAGCATTAATCAAAGCTACCATACAATGAAGTTGTTCGCCAACTGTTTTACTACTACTGCACCCTACAAACAAGAATAATCTGATAGGTAGATTGATGGATCTCAAAGGCGAAGAATTACACTTAAGATGACAGGATTTTGTTTTGTTCATGTTACAGAAGATTGAATGAGATCTTAGCTATCATGAGTCATATCTGGTCGTTCATCTTGGCTAAACTCGTTATTACATGTTACTGACTACTATGGTCTCCAAATAAATGCCTTGAGTGTAAATCTGTATATATTGATAATATATTGATAGATGTATAGAGTTTCCCGGGTGTATAACTCTTTTCTTTTCGTTTATTCTTCTTATCTTCATCTGTAGGGTCAATGGAAGGCTAAAACTTGAAACGAGGGGGAAAATTTCCAAGACGTAGCGAGAACCAAGACCAGAGGTGGCGAGAAAACTGGTGATGCTGTGTATGGGCCCTCTTGCATGTTCATCGTAATGAATCGAGACAATAAATTGAGGCGGAGTGTACAGCGACAAGAAGGCAGGGGTGGCTTTTGGGAGATAGATGTGGCAAGCAAAGAAAAAGAGGGAGAACTAGGAGAAAGAACAATAATATAAGGCTCCAAAATGCATTATGCGTAAGACAATCCGTTTCACCGCCGATGTAGCCGAAGAATATAATAGAGGAAAATAAATCAAGGAAACAATCTGCATCCGGAATCAAGATCAATGGATCGAGCGGGAAAGATTGTCGAAGTTAGTTGCGACGCGGTCGAGGGAATCTTAAAATTCCCAATCCTCGTCGACCGACTTGATGGCCCATTCGAACTTCTCCCGGAGGGACTTGGAGAAGAACTTCTCGATAGGAACATCAAACTTCTTGCTGAAAACCACAGTAAGACGAGGGTCGATGTAGTTCTATGTAGTGTTAGTCGATCAAGAACCATCGGCCAGAGCAAGGGACAGAAACTTACAATCTTCGAGGTTCCCAGAGCGACCTCCTTATTCTCTTCCTTATCCTGAGCTTGAAGCTCCATCGTTTCAATGCGCTGCTCGAGCTTGGTGATCGCTGCCTCAATCTTATCGACAGTCGGGGCCTTGCCTTCGGCTTCCACCTTTCCGGTTTTGTTCTCCTTGTTGAACTTTTTCTCCAGATCCTTCGCTACCTGGAGACGGCTCTCCAGCTCAGTGGCCTTCATTTCCTTCTCGCCTTCTGCAGCAAGCTTTTCATTGTCCTTTTCGAACTTTTTCTGGATTTTCTGGCGCTGCTCTTCCACAAGGAAGGCCTGGTGCTCCTTCACCCATTCGAGGTCCATATCTTCGTCCATCTCGAAGTACTTGGCGCCCTTCTTCTTCTTCAAGCTAGGCTCGAGATCGAGCATCTGTTGCTTTAGACGCCATCTTTGGTACCGTAGTCCCTTGATCTAAAAATGTTTAAAAAATAGACATGAGCAATACGTCCCAGTTGTAGAGTTCACCGCAGGCCAACTTACCCTTTCACTCATCTTTTCCATCTGATTGGCATGGGATGCAGCCACAGTTCGCTTATGGTTGCAGAGAATGGCGACCTTGCGATTGGCGTCATTGTACGCCTTCACCTTCTCTGCAATGTTACCCGTCGCCTTCATGTCCTTCAACAGCGTAGACATAGTGTGGGAAGCGTTGTAGGTACGGAACACCTTTGCCGTCAGACCTTGCATGTAGGCCGACAAGTGCTTGTTGAGGGCGGAAGTCTAGGCGTGATTGTTAGCAGTGTCATTAAAGAGCGAACCGGAGTACATACAGTCAGCCGATCGAAGATTTCGTCGCCCTCCTTCTTGGGTGCTTTCTTGAAGATCTTGAGGTTCTTGAAGACCTGCGCGTCGACCTCGACCTCATCATAGAAGCGAATACTGTCCTTACCCAAGAAATCGAAGACGACCTTATTTGGAGGCTTGAGAGTGACGTTCTCGTATTTGAGCGAGCAGCACCCCACAGTCTCAGCTTCGTCTTCACCCTTCTCGTTACCAGCACGAAGAGCAAACTGGTCAATAAGGTACACTGCCGTGGCCTTTTGCCGTTCGACCATCAGCTCGTGCTTGAGGTTCTTCTGGTAATCCTTGCGGATTCGACCAATGTGATGCTTCAATTCACGAGCCTTCTCGAATTTCTTGTAATCACTCTGGCCCTTGACGTCAGAGTTGGCCGCGAGCATGACATACTTGTAGTTGCCGTTAATGTTTTCCTGCCACATGGCAAGCCATGTGCCTTCTTGATCATGTTTGACCTCTTTCCACTTGTGGCCCTCCGGAGGAGGCGGGACAGGCGCATCCTTGCCGATGTTGATGGTGATTTGCTCCGGCTGAACGCGAGACTTCACGCGGCCAGTTTTGGGGTGCTCACCACGTCCACGGAAGAGAGCAGGCGGTTCCACTCGGAAGTTTCCCACTTTCTGCTTCCGTCCGTCCCACATACAGAACATGTAAGGGGCCTCTTGAGCGTCCTTCTCAGCCTTCAGACGCTTCTTCTCAGCCGGAGGCAAAGCCTTCTTCTCTTGACGTTGATTGTCGTAGTAGGCAAAGATCGGCTGGAAGTCGCATTTGTGAAAGTCCTTAATGTCCACTTTATTGCCCTTGGGGTCCTTTGCGCCACCGGTCTTCTTGAGAATATCGCGGAAATCCATGAAGAAGTTCTTCTGGAAAGTGGGATTCTCAACATGCTGAGTCGCATTGAGCATGCCGCCGAAGAAGCCGGCCACCTCTTCAGCATCAGGATGGAGAGTGACAGGGATGCCATCATACTTCATCTTGACGTTCTTGGGGAGTGGCTCGTACGGAGGAGGGAAAACCACGCCGTTGTGTTCGAGTGTCGTCCACTTGATCGTACCATCACCCTTGGTCGGGTCTTCCCACCATCTGTACTCTTCTTCATCGGCGTCTTCAGCCTCCTCGCTCTCTTCCTTTTTGACGGGGGTCGACTTGGCGCTGGAGGCAGCCCGCTTCACCTGCGAGGACAATGCAGCCTTGTCACTGGCCTTGGTCGGCTTGGCCGTCTTCTTGACGGTCGAAGGCTTCACATCCTCGGGCTCTTTTTTCACGCCATTGGTCTGCCTCTTGGTTGCTGCGGTCTTCGTAGTCTTCGGAGGGGCTGGCTTGCGGGTCACTTTCGCATCCTTCTCTGCCTTCTGCTGGATCTTCTTCTTCTGAGAGGCGAGTTTTCTTTCGATGGGCACGTCGGAATCGGATTCTTCGCCTATAGCCGTTTCCGACGCCTTGGGAAGCTTTCTTCCATTGAGCGCCAAAGGTACATCATCGTCCGTTTCGGGGTCCTCGTGCTTCACGGAAGTGCGGCGTCGCTTGCTCTGTCGACTGGTCAGCCGCTGGAACGAACAGCGACAGCAATAGCGTCGCAAGGATAGGGGGAACGAAGGAACTGGCGTGGAGATAATTGGCGTACCAAGGGTTGATCATCCTCCTCACTGCTCTCAGGTTCGGCGTAAGACTTTCTCTGACCGACGCTTGAGCGCGACTTCCGCTTGGGAACGGCGGCAGCGTCGGCATCCGCCATGTCAACATCATTTTCGGCCTGAACGGGACCAAAGCGGATGGATACGCCTGGGTCAACATGGCCATTTGTTTCCGTCGCGTCGCGCATTTTCGAGTCCGTATGGGAACCTTGAAAACAACAAGAGGAAGTGTAAGACTTATCGCATTCACGAGGGTTTATAGATATCGATGCGCAAAAAGAGGGGATTGAGTCGCAAATTTGACCCCAAACAAAGGAAAGTGAAGGGTAACTGAGGCGTAAAAGAGAGGCGGGAAAGGGTCAGGTGAGAGTAAAGAGAGGAAGTAACACTCACTGATACGGCGACCATTTGCCTGGACAAGTGGGGTATCGTCTTCCGAGGAGCTCATGGTTGCCCGGCGATTGAAAGAAATAGCGCGTGGGCCCAAGGAGCGAGTAGACAGGCAAAGCCGGGGTGGGAGAGCGCAGGGGCGCGCGCGAGAGAGGGCGAGTCTGCAGATCGGAGCTGGCGCTTGAAGGAGTGATGAAAGCAACGGCAGCCTGGCCAATGGGAAGGCTAAGGGCAACGAGAAAGCGTCTACTAGAAGGGAGAGACAGACATAGACCGAATAGGGAAAGACGGAAGGAAAACGAGAACCCGGAGAGGGGAGGGTGGAAAAGAGATTCAAGCGGGAAGAGCGGAGAGGAGAGGAAGCTGAAGGGGGAAGGGAGGAGGAGAGAGAAAAGAAGACAGCAGAGCCAAAGATGACGGACGAGAGGGAAGAACAGGGAAACGAAAAAGAGAGAGAGAAGAGAGAGGAAAGAGAGGAAAGAGAGGAAGAAGAGAAGAAGGAATGGAATGGAAAACGAGGCCGTCTTTTGGGGCCTGAGGCGATCTTCACGTTTCTCCGGACCGTCAGCCACTCGCCGTGCGAGGAGGCTGGCAGCCTGAGGTGCCAAGGCTGCCGGGTCTGGAAGTTTGTATGGAAATTATGACGACTCCATTTCGATTCCGGGCGCCTCGGTGCCTGCATGCCTGAGTGGCGCTGCTGACTCAGCCGACGTAAGCCTGCGCGCAGCCAGGTCACCTGATGTGCCCGACACCTCCAGAGCTGCCCGTTTGGGCTTAGCGCCGCGCACGCCCGGCCGGGTTGCATAGCTGGTCGCTGTGGACACCCGGACACCCGGACCACCAGCCATTTCACCACCACCCCTGCCCGTTTGGGACTAGCGCGGTTGGGTCCCGTGCTGCCGGCTGTCGGAAGAACAGAAACAGGAGTCCAACTTCAACCACCGACTTCTCAACCGCCAGCCTACGAGGATTCCTCTACCCTCTTCCTCCTTCCCCCCTCTCCCCACACTATCCCCTCTACGATTGTTTATCGTTGGTCTTTTTGACCGTACGGCTTCTTTGCAATATGTTCTCCCGTGCTGTTCGTCCGGCTGTGAGGGCTGGTAGCATTGCGGTCTCCCGGTAAGTTCTTCTTCTCTTCCGGAATGTCCACAACACCCGCCCGTCCGTCGCCTTTTCGTTTCCCTCCCACTGCCCCAAGCTAGGCTGTCCAGCTGGCTCCCACCACCCCATTCCACCAATCCATTTAACAGACAGGACAAAGAGGAGATGGAGCTACAAGCATACCAACAGAATGGTTCAATGGCTGATTTTTTCGAAGCACTGCTCCTCCCAATGCCGCCAACTTCGCGACTCTGCGTGAAATCGAGGGCCGTCTCAAGTCCATCAAGAACATCGAGAAGATCACCAACACCATGAAGGTCATCGCCTCCACCCGTCTTACTCGCGCCCAGAAGGCCATGGAGGACTCTCGCGCCTACGGTCAGACCTCCAACACCGTTTTCGAGAACGCCGAGACCAAGCCTCTCGAGGACAAGAAGACTCTGCTCGTCGTCGCCAGCTCCGACAAGGGTCTTTGCGGTGGTATCCACTCCGGTCTCAGCAAGGCCACTCGTCGCATGCTCCAGCAGTACCCCGATGCCGACATCGTCGTCCTCGGTGAGAAGGCCAAGGCTCAGCTGTCTCGTACCAACCCCAACGCCATCGTCCTGAGCTTCGCCAACGTCTGCAAGGACATCCCCACCTTCAACGACGCTCAGTCCATTGCCGACCAGATCTCCCAGCTGCCCACCGACTACGCCAGCGTCAAGATCATCTACAACCAGTTCATCAACGCCCAGTCCTATGAGGCCGGCACCGTTGAGGCTTACTCTGAGGAGGCTATCACCCAGTCTCGTGAGTTATACCAGCTGTAATGTGTTTTGCGCGTACCGAAACTGAACTCTCTGCTCTAGCCAACCTCTCTACTTTCGAGACTGATGACCAGACTCTGGCCCACCTCCGTGAATACGCCCTTGCCAACAACCTCTTCTGGGCTATGGCTGAGGGTCACGCTTGCGAAATCTCCGTAAGTTTTCCAGCTTAAAGTACCCATTGACTTGGAGTAATTAACTAATGTGATTACAGGCTCGTCGTAACGCCATGGAGGCAAGTATCATTCAGATATTTGAAATGAACCCAGACTAACCATGTTCTACAGAACGCCTCCAAGAACGCTGGTGAGATGATCAACAAGTAAGTTCCAAAAGTCACACAACTACACGCTTCAAGACTAATCCCGTGTAGGTTCCAGATCTTGTACAACCGTCAGCGTCAAGCCGCCATTACCGGTGAACTGGTTGAGATTATCACTGGTGCCACCGCCAGTGCGGACATGTAAAAGCTTCCATGAAGCTTGTGTGGGGAGGAGTCGCCATGTGTGTAGACTTACTCATAAATACCTAGATGCTTGTCAGCCTGTAAAATCTATCACTATCTTTTCTTTGTCCTTGCTTTCCTATGTTCTCATGACCGATCGATTGGTAGTGTGAATGAATTGCTGCTGTCATTACACAACATAGGCGGGAATATCAAACGGGAATTTCCCGTCACTTCAACACGTTTGCATTCACGCACTCTGAACTTCACGTATGTGGGGGAAGTCCCTTCCATTCACTGCTTACCTTCCCAAATGTGTCCGGACTCTCAACACTCCCCTCTCGGCGTTTGTTTCCTCTCTCCCTGCACCTACCTGCGACGCCCGTCACTTTCCCCTCACGCCTACGCCTTCTTGAATCCCCAATACTGCACATTTACTACAAACCTCAGGAATCAAGTCATTTGATCAAGATGTATTCCGCTGCACGCGTGACCAACTACTACTCGATCCTGGGTATCTCTCATAACTCAACTCTAAAGGACATCAACAGCGCGTACAAGAAGCTCGCACTGAAGCATCACCCGGACAAGCAAGGCACCGGCAGTGCAGATGTCTCTAACGACGAGTTCCAGAAGGTGAGTGAATCAAAAAGAATGATGATCTGAACCTCACAATGCAAATCCATCCCTCATCCCCTCGGATGACCATCATCATCACACAATCCTATGAGCAATAAAGCAAGCTGAATCTCACAATACTGCAGATCCAAGAAGCCATCGAAACCCTCCGCGATCCCATCCGGAAGCAAGAGCACGACGATAGCCTTCGTCGAGCTGGATACTATTTCCATTCAACCCCGTTTGCATCTGACGACGAGTACGAAGACTGGGAAAAAGGAACTTGGAGACCTACGAGCGGGAAGCGCTACTGCGATCTCACCGATCCTATGGAACTGTACAAGTACAAGTACGGCCATAGTGTTCATATGGATCCATTCGCTCCTGAGTCTCTGGTAGAGAAAGCTCGCGTGGAGATTGAGATAAGAGTAGGTGAACAGTTGAAGAGAGAGGCGGAGGCCGCGGAAGCTGCTGCGGCTGCGGGTGGTATGAGAAGTGGGAATGGAGATGATGAAGGTGAGGAAGATGAAGGAGTTGAGGACGACGGTGGCGTTCTATTTGAGAAACCCCAGCATTTTCAGGACATCCTGGAGTATCTTCGCAATCAGGAAGCTGCCAGTGTGGAAAAGAGAAAGATGGCGATGAAGGCTAATGTCGATAAGGATGAGGAGAGGCTGAGGAACGGGGAGGACGAAGAAGAGTTCGAACATGATGAGAAAGAGTTTGCTCGTGGCTACGGCAATGAATATTGCTGGAGATCCCAAGAGGCTGGGCCCGATGTTCCCAGAGAGTGGCACGAAAACTTTTACTACAACGAAGAAGAGGCCGCCTACTACGGTGGAGATGAGGATGAAGGTGAGGGTGAAGGCGATGAGGAGGAAGATGATGAGGATGACGAAGAAGATGACGAAGAAGAAGATGACAACCGCCGTGGAGAGAACCAGAATGACGATTTTGAGGACGAGGACGAAGATGATGAGCAGCCCCAAGGCCCAGGAGCAGGAGCACCTACTCAGCACCACGGCAATTCCTATGATGTGGATCGCTACGACGATGACGGGTACTATCACTCCGATGAGGAGGACGATTGCTACGACGATGGCGGCCATAACAATGGAGCAGACATTTATTTCTTCAAATTCTCTCACACTGCGAGCGAACAGCCTGCCTCGAGCTGCTCTGACAGCACCGAGTACGTGACCGCCAAATGTGCTAGAGAATCGGATGATGAATCTGTCCTGGACGAAGCTGGCGGTGTCTGTGTCACTCATTATATGAGCAACAAGCCCCAGCCAACCGACTCAAGCATCTTCTCACCCAGTTCTATAAATCTTCCTTCCTCCCCCTCTGTCATGCCCTTACTCACCTCCCCCTCCATCAAACTCAACGCGACCGCTAACATCAACAACGGCGACCCGCTCCTCTTCCACTTCTACTCAAAACTCGACGACCCAGGCAACAGCTATACAAGCCAGGACTTCGTTTTCGAGCTAACTGGCATGGTCTTCGACATGTACTGCGGTTGGCTAGAATGTGTCCGCCTCACGTTCCCGGAGGCGAAGCCGCTCACCAAGGAGCAGCAAGACACATCGGCTTGCCTCCACCTGGGCGGTTGGGAGAAGAGATTTGGCCGGGACAAGTGTAAAGGGTGCCATCTTCGACAGCCGCTTTACATGCTTAATTGCCCTGGATGTGGGATTGAGAAGTGTGTGGGGTGTAGGTTGACTGCTGCTGCTGCTGTGGGTAAGGGGGTGGGGGATTTGCTGGAGGGATGGGATGTTACTGCGCTGGGCTGGTAGGAGCTGGCGGTGGTCTTTCCTGGCTCTTCCTAATGGGGGATGACGAAGAGTGTGGTCTATGTTCCCTTTCACTGTTATTGGAGACTGGGTATTTCTGACGCTTTTTCATTTCGTTAACTATTCATAAAAACCTAATCTAGTGAGCTTAAGAAATGCAATACAATATTTCTCAGTAATGACCCATCACCTCATCTATCAAACCTGAAAATAACAAGCTCACGATTGTGGCTCTGACCTATCAGATAGTCCTCTGTCCCACAAACCTTCCCCATCGCCGTGAGCTCCATTACAAGGCTCTCAGGCAAGACGTTTGCCGGCTCGGGTGCATACTCAGGTGAGCCAACAGCCAAGAACATAGCTGTCTCGACCGGCCATATTTGTTCTTCCAAGTAAAGACAATAACCCACCTGAGACTGCTCATCATACGACTCACAAACAATAGAATACCACGGCTCATCGCAGATAGCAAAGGTGATAGGATTAGTCTGCAAGCTACAATTTCCTCGATACGGTGGCAGCGGAAAGTCAGCGCGCCGTCGTCGGCACGGGCCCTCGCCAACGATTGGGATAGTCGTAACCCACACCTCAGATTCCCATTCATCAGGAACAAGAACCTGCGGTGAGCGGCCCGCGCATGTGCCTTCGAGGATCTCTATAGATTGATCGTCGTCGGTGATGTTGAGGGATTGTATTGCTGGGAGTCCTCGCTGACGGACGCCGTAGAAGCCTAGTTCTCTGAACCCGAAGCGAGTGATAATGGTTGGTCCGAGATCTTCTTCTCCACCTCCGGACTCGACTCGCAAGCGACCTGTTGGGTCTAGAGAAGGTCGGTAATCGGAGGGTTTGGAAATGTCCCATACAGAGAGGGACTCAATAGGGGCGTCCTCGTCTGCAGTGTAGAGGCTGCGGTTGGGTTGCCAGATGTAGATGGCATAATGGGTCTGGGTATGGGTGGAGTAGAACCGATCTCGCTCGCTCAGAGGATGCCCGAGGAACATGATTTTCCATTCGTTACGAAAATTAACGCGCCAGCCATCTTCCTTCTGGTTTACGTCGAACGAGGTAGCAAAGTGTCGGTGGACACCGTCGCTGTCGTTGAGCCAGTGGTAGGCTTTGTTTTCTGCCCATTCGATGACAAGCACTCGTTTCTGAAGCCGGACTCGGCGTATTACTCTCCCGACGATCATGAAAGGGACCATGAATTTCCTGTCGGTTTCCATGTCCATCAGGACGAGACATGAATGGTCTGCACTTGGGTACACTAGGAGCCCGTCGTCGTAGGACCAGAAGGTCTCGCCGAAGGGTCGATCGATGCGCTGCATGAGATGGCTGGCGTGATACTCCCAGGGCTGGACGGGGAACCAGTTCCTCTCGCCTGTGATTCCGAAGTCATCGCAGAGCTTAAGCCTGTGCATTGTTTGGGGCGTTACTCGGCTTAGATAGTCGTATTTCGCCGTGACCTTATCGAAGATCTGGGATATGCGAACGTCGTATTCTGGCGTTTCGAGTGATTCTGCGCTTTCAGAGTCTAATTGCCGCACCTCTCTAGCTAATGGGTATCGTTTCTTTAACATTGGAAGCAGATTGGCGCCAATTCGAAAGGCGACGTTCCAGGACTGACACACTCGTCGGCAACGGAGGACATCGCCGGGTTCGAGATGCTTCAGTACAAGCCAGAAGATCTCCCTGGGCAGAAGGGCCATGCCCTTGCCTTCAGATGGGGATGCAATGGACATGTTCGTTTGTAATTTGAGGATTGGTGAGGCGGGGAAGTGCCTGGCTTCCGAGCACTAAGAAAGAGACCCTCGATTAGTACGGAGCAGGTAGTAACTAATCTAGTCTAACGCTTAAGTAGATAGGTAAGGGCTCCGCATAAACAAAGGATCTTATGGGCCCGGAGCTACGGAGCTCGTGCTCATGGAGGCTTCCCGGAAGACAGGATTGCCGACGCCATGGATTTTGCAGAATAGTTAACTGAATCCAATCCCGTAGAGAATGGATGCCATTCATGGGGGGATGAACAATGGACTGGTGTGATGGCGGGGAACATCGAACGGACGGATCCGCCGCCATTCCAAATCCATACAATTCAATATTACTTCTTAAGACATTTCGCGTCACATGCCAAGAGCTTCAGGACACCTTGCTTCTATCTACTTCTTTCTGTCCTCTCTTCTCCCTCTCTTCTTCCTCGATTCATCCCCGCTGGGTGATGCTTTAGCTGCTACTCTTGGATCCCCTCTCGCATCTTCCTTACCCGCAATCATGCTGCAGCCCAGCTCTGCGTTGCTTTTCGTCACGTCGCTTCTGGCGGCGTTGCCCGTCAACGCCGATGGATTGTATACGAAGAAGTCCCCCGTCTTGCAGGTCAACCAGAAGAACTACGACCAGCTCATTGCAAACTCCAATCACACTTCGGTAAGTACAGCTGTGCAGGTTATTACAATTGCCTACAGACAAGTCTAATAAGCTCTCCTAGATCGTAGAGTAAGCCATCGATCACCCTACCCATCTACCTCCCACAATCCTAAACCTCCCCGCTCTCCCTCTAGATTCTACGCTCCCTGGTGCGGCCACTGCCAGAACCTAAAGCCCGCCTACGAAAAAGCCGCAACTAATCTCGACGGCCTGGCCAAAGTCGCCGCCGTCAATTGCGACTATGACGACAACAAACCCTTCTGCGGCCGCATGGGCGTCCAGGGCTTCCCTACCCTCAAGATCGTCACCCCCGGCAAGAAACCCGGCAAGCCCCGCGTGGAAGACTACAAGGGCGCACGAAGTGCCAAAGCGATTGTCGAGGCAGTCGTCGACCGGATTCCCAACCATGTGAAGCGCGCAACAGACAAGGACCTTGACACTTGGCTCGCGCAGGATGAGGAATCCCCCAAGGCCATCCTCTTCACGGAGAAAGGCACCACCAGCCCACTCCTCCGCGCCCTGGCCATCGACTTCCTCGGCTCCATCCAAGTCGCTCAAGTCCGCAACAAGGAAACCGAAGCCGTCGAGAAATTCGGCATCACCGAGTTCCCAACCTTCGTCCTACTCCCAGGAGGCGGCCAAGACCCCATCGTCTACGACGGCGAACTGAAGAAGAAGCCCATGGTCGAATTCCTCAGCCAAGCCGCTGCTCCTAACCCGGATCCTGCTCCCAAGGGCTCGACCGCGCCCCGCGATAACAACAAGAAGAAATCCACCGAACCTTCTCCAGACTCCAAGATTGTCTCGGACGAGGCCAAACCCGCCAGTGTGCCCATTCCGGCTCCCCCCATTGGTACCCTGCCCACTGCGGAAGCCCTCGAGGCTGCTTGTCTGATGCCGAAATCCGGTACCTGTGTGCTGGCTCTCCTCCCTGAACCGAGTGAGCCGGACGCAGAGCTCCCGGCTCCGGCCAAGGACGCCCTCCTCAGTCTCGCTGAGATCTCGCACAAGCACGCAGTCCGTAAGAGCAAGCTCTTCCCGTTCTACAGTGTCCCGGCTATCAATAGCGGAGCTAAGACCCTCCGCGCTGGGCTTGGTCTGCCTGAGGATAACTCGGTGGAGATCGTTGCTGTGAATGGACGCCGTGGCTGGTGGCGCCGGTATGACTCGGTTGAGGGCGCAGAGTACGGCCAGGAGCGTGTCGAGGCTTGGATTGATGCGATCAGGCTGGGTGAGGGTGAGAAGCAGAAGTTGCCTGATGGCGTTGTCGTTGAAGAGGTAGTTGAGGAGAAGGTCGAAGAGAAGGTCGAGGAAGTGGTTGAAGAACCCGTCGAGGAGAAGCCGGCGGTCGACCACGACGAATTGTAAAACATATGGTCCGTATGGAGTGCATGAATTTGTTTATTAGCACAGGTGTTTATCAGGTCAAATAAGTACTACTAGCTGGTTTCCCATATCGAGTATCAAAAGCATACATATCATCTACTGTCAGCTACTTCAATTCCACTAATCGGGATGAACTTGTATTGGAACACTCATGTAGAAATAAGCTCTCTAAAGATTCAATTAAGACTTTTTCAAACCCACCCACATCATATATACAATACAACTATACATCATTCAAAACAAGATTCAGGAATAAAATCACACACATAACACCATGATCTAATCAATGCATAAAAAGAACATTTCCACTTGGAACAGCCAAGTATAGTATGAAAAGATAAAAGGGGAAAAAAAGGCAAGAAATGTGATTGAAGAAAGCACATAACTAATGCTTCTTCTTCTTCCCCTCCGTCCCCTTCTTAATGATCTTCTGTCTCTTGGAATCGATCTCCTGGTCATAGATCTCACGAGCCGACTCGCCCTTCTTGCGCTTGGTCTGCTTGCTAGTTTTGACGCTGACGGTGGAAGCACCGCCGCTGCGGATCTGCTTCTCGGCTTCTTCCCATGCCGCGCTACCGTGGTTGATCTCGTATCTGGAGACTGTAAATCAGTTATTGTCATTCAATGATTATGATGGGGTATTATTGAGGGAAGAGAGAGGAAGAAGGAAGGGGGGACTAACTTGTCAAGAGGGAGAGCGTCGATCAAGGCGCGCTGCTTCTCGCGAAGCTCCTCGTTGACTTCTTGACCACCTTCACGGAGTTCATCGTCCAGGCTGGTCTCCAGGGGCTTGAAGCGCTCGTCGGGGAGCTCGTCGTGGGCCTCGGTGGTGACCCGAGCGGAGGGGGCCTTCTCTGCGGGCATGGTCTCGGCGACGGCGCCTTCAATAAGGTTGCGGAAGTAGGTGGAGACCTTGCGGATGATCTTGAGGAACATGGCGAGGAGCTGAGACGAGGGGAGGGTGAGTTCCTTCTCGATCGTGTCAAGGTTCTTGCGCTGCAGACCAATGGCGAGCAGGATGGATTGCTGAACGCCGGACAGGCTGACCTTGCCGCTGAGGCGGCCGGAGAAGTAGTACTCGGCGATGGTGGGGACCATGTCGAGGATGACGTGGTAGTCGAGGAGGTTGTTGGCGTAGCTGTCGAGACGCTTGAGGTCGAAGGGCGAGAAGGCGGCGTCGAGCTCGGCCTTGGTCAGGGGGCTCTGAGAGATAGAGGGGTCGAGTTTGGCGCCGGAGTTGGCGGACTCGCAGATGCTGAGAGACAGCACGGAGGGGAACTCGCGGAACTGGTACGACAGCAAAGACGAGAAACGCTTGTGGAAGTCACGCGAGAAGGCGCCCAGCCAGGCGGCATCGTTGGAGCCGGAGGTCAGGGTGCGCAGCATCACGCATGAGTGCTCGCCAGTCAGGTCGTTGGGGGTCTGGCGGAGGTAGACGGGAGAGAAGGATGAGCGCTTCCAGAACTTGTGCAGAGATGGAGTAAGACCGAAGCTGACACCAACGTAGTCGAGAGCGTCGGGGCGACGCTCAGACAGTTTGCCGAACAATGGGGGCATGGTGTGAATGTCGCGGACCTTGACGTTGTCGTCCAGGAGGTTGGAGTTGGTCAGCTCCTCGTCAGTCACCCGGACCATCTCCTCCTGCGGCTCGGGGATATCCTCGGAAAGGCTGGTGAACTTGCCCTCGTAGAAGTCAATGAGCAGCTCTAGAGCCCGGGAGCCGTATCCCATGCTCAGGTACTCTGGGTTCGTGGCGATACGGACAATTCGGGCACCCGAAAGACCGGCAAAGTCCTCATCCTGGTATTGTTGGCTGACCAGCCATGGAATCAGATCACCACCCGCCCGCTGGCCGCGGCTCAGGCTGTTGAGGACACTCTGTCGGCTGATGCGACCTTCCAGCGCAACCTGAATGACACAGAGGGGTTCAGGGAGCTTGGTGGCTTCCTCGTCAATCGGGGGAACGAGAACAAACAGCTGGTGCGCGGGCGCATCGCTCATGAGTTGAAGATCATTAGGCGTGTTCTTGTAGTGGCTGGCAACGTAGAGAGCCATCATCTGCTGAAGGAACTTTTCGGAAACAGGGTGGAAGGAGAACAAGGTATCACGGTTGACTTGCAGCAATTGACATTGCGAGGGGTGAGGGGTGCCCTGAGTGTTCATGCGGGACTTGGGTAGGGTCGCGTCCAGGCAAAGGACCTTGTTCAACCACTTCTCCACCGAATCACCCGGTGCGTATCTGATGGGTTCCGAAAGGGTGATCTCCCTCAAAGACCGTCCAGCCAGGCTCTTGTCGATGTTCTTGGCGGCCTTGCCCGTGGCACGATCCGCAACGTCGATATCATCTTCACCGCTGACCTTGACGCCTCCCCGGGACTGCTCGCGAAGCTGCTGGATCAGCTTCAGGGAGAGGGACCGGCCCGTTCCTTCATAACCGTTAATGGTAGAGGCCATGAAGACCAGGTACGGTCCCATCAGCTTGCGGACCAGAGGGAGAGGGATGGCGGCGGCTTCATCGATCACCAGCAGCTCAGCCTGACCCAGGACGTGGGCATCCTGGGGCTGGATGTACTGGATGGTCTGACGGTGCTGGCGGTGGATGTTGACACGGACGATGGCCTTGTTGAAGTCCGGGTTGGTCGACTGAAGAATGGTGTAGTCAACATGGTCGAGGTAGCCGAGGGCATCAAAGCCCTTGAAAACGAATTCGAAGAGGGTCTTCAAGTTCTCAGGGCTGGGCGAGGTGATGAAGATATTGCTGTAACCATGCGCCACAGCGGCCGCAATGGCAACACCAAGAGCTGCGGATTTACCGCGACCTCTGGCAGCGGTCAAAGCGACAGTGCTCCGAAGGGTCTTCTCAGCGATTGCGTCGGCAAACGTCAAGAGCGCCTTCGCTTGGTCGACAGTGCGAGCCAAGTTGACCAGCGAGCCAATAGGCTGGGACTCTGCCAAACTCTCTTTGATCTCCTTCAGCTCCTTCTTTGTGCCAATGTTGGTATCGTCGATCGACTCCGGCGGAGGCAGCGGCTTCACGCTCTTCCCTCCGGAGATGGGCAGGACGTTCAACTCGTCATCCACAACCAGGCAGGAATCGCAGCTACCAAGAGATAGGATAAAACGCTCGTTGAATCTAGCAGTGACATCGTCGTGGGCTTCAGTGCGGTATCTCGAGTGGATATCCATGGACAATGTGTAGAGCTGCTTCAAGCTGTTCATGCCCTTCAGCAGCAGCAGGACGATACCACCTCCTTCAACAGTCTCAACAGTCCGGGCAAGCAAGTTCGGGGTCATAGCCTCGAAGTCCTGAAGCACGCACATTCCGTAGGTGTTACCGAGAATCTTCTCAGTCTCCTTGTAGTAGACGTAGCGGATTTGGTTGAGGGTGATGAACAGCTCGAACGGATCCTCCTGGTTAGGTTCTCTGATGCCGCGCTTAACCTCCTTCTTAATCTTGGCCTCACGCTTCTTCCGGTGACTCGTGAATCCTAGCAAATCCTTCTTGTAGGCCCACAGCACGGACTTGTTCTGCTTGACGTCGACGCTCGACATGATATAGTGGAGGTGGACGATGACATCCTTTGCGCGATCGCCAACGACGACGAAGAAGCTCCGCTTCTTCTCCTGCACGCCATTTCGGATGAGGGCCGGAATACGGGAATCAATAGCTTTGCGGGGCATGTTGGAGGCTGATTCCTGTGACCCTGGAGAGGGGAGGGGGTTGACTTGGGTATGTAAATGAGCGCTCGCAGAAAGGTCTCGATGGCCCGCGAACGAAAATTCGTAGACGGCGGCGGGGACCACAGATTGCGGGTTTGCAGTGGGTATACAGAAACACCACTTGATTTGCGAAACAGGGAGACACAAACCAGGCCCTCAAAGCAACAAGAGAAACGGTCGGCCAGGTAAAGAAATTGAGGCTCACACTGCCGATGAACTCTGCGATTCCTTTCGCCGACAAAAAAAAGTTATCGCCGAAAATCAGAACTGCCGCTTGGGACCGCTTTCTGTATGGGATACCGCCTAGTTTTATGCCTGAGGCAGGTAAAATGTTGGTTCCTGACTCGAAATATGACACGTGACAACCATCTGACAGGAACGGGGAGGTCCCATTATTGACCAGTTGATCATAACAAACGAGTAGCGCAAGCGATCTTATTCCTCTTTGGAGCATTGGATAATTTAATAAAATCGCTTTTCACATTTTTGAAGCTACAGAGAATCTATATTGGATATCTGGTCAGGAAGTTCATCTGGATTTGTTTGCATGCGAGGCAATTGGTCCTTGTTTGTTCTACAACAGTTAGCGATCGGCTGCTTTGAAAGACCCATCCTCGTATTATTTATTATCGAGGAGCCAATGTAGTAAGTACTGATAGTAAAACTATGCCATGTGTAGGACTTTCTTTTATTGCAGACAGTATTCAGGTCTCATGGCGCATGGTGGAAGGGTGAAAGTTCACACCAGAAGAAGGCAGGCAGGCAGGAAGATCCCTCTCAAATCAGTCTCAACTCGAGTCCCCACGGAGTCTCCACGCTTTACCCGCCGCCAGGATATCGCGCAGTTACTGCCAACTTTGACTGGGTGAGTTGGCGCAAGTTTGACTCTTGGACTCCCTGGAGATCCAGAGTTTTCAGGATTGATGATGCCATCCAGAGGGGCACACGGGAGGGGAGATTGCCCGATCGGGGAGAGGATCATCCCAAGATGGGCCAAAGATGGACCATGGAATGGCTGGACCCTGACGCTAAGCGCTGCAACCTGCCATGTCTTTTTCCTTCCTTTCAGGATGACTGACCGTTTCACTGCGTGTGTTTACTGCAGCATCTTACGCATCTCCAGGAGTACGTGTTCAGTGACACCGTCTCTGATATGCCCGATGGACTGAGCGGTAACTCTTGGCCAGTCATTCGACCAGAAAGATGATCGTCGTGAAATTGGGAGTGCTGACGTGCTCGAGGAAGGCAATGGGCAGTGCAGCTACCTGGACACTAAGGACAAGTTCCTCCCGTGTGGTGGAATGAGGATGGCCGTGATGGTCGCGAGCCGTGGGCCAGACCCCTTCGTTGACGCAATCCCCTCGAATCCCGGTCATGGTCTCCTTATCTTTGCTGGGAATGAGATATTCTAAGGATATGTTTTTGGTTGTTGTCGTCCCTTTGTCATTCCTATTTTCCCCCCTCTTCTCTCCTCCACACCTTTCGCAAACTCCGGAGGACACACGCCATTCATTCTACTGGAAGTGTATTCCCCCCCCCTGGGGCCCCTAGCCAGGACGTTATAGTGACGGCTCCACCTCCTTGCGGCATCCCCAGCCAGGCACCACAGTTGCTTACTCCCTCGCGGATCTTTCTTTCTGCGCCGGAATTTGCCTGTGCGCTGCATGATGTGAATGTCATTCAAACCATGATGGCTATTAGCTTTCTGTACCCATAACTTTCTTTGGCGTCATGGTATTTCTCTCTGCTGAGACCGGCCTCAAGGCCGCGGTAGGGTGAGTATAAGCATGCCCGTTATACCACCAAGGATGCCCAACTCTGTTACTCAACTGAGCGACCTAACGCAACGCACAGGGTATTCTTACTAAGTTGTACCTTTATCTCGACGTCTTACAAGACTACTTTCGCTTTCGGTAGGCTACCGAACCGAACGGTCCTTAATCCTCTAGGCTAATTATGTCCTCCTAGACCACCCTCTCATCACAGCCGTACTGGCCTGCTACTTTGCGGGGATCTGTCTTTTAATTCTGAGCCGATTCATCCATCGCATACCGAAGATCGCTTCGTCTGCACCTAAATACTCCGCCATTCCTCTCACAGAACGGGACCAAACGCTCGAAGAGCCATTTTCGCCGATCAGCTTAGACAGTAACAGCAGTTTTGCGCTCACTCGCTCGCGCAGCTCGGCGCGTTGGATCAAACTAGGTCTACTCTCGGTGCTTGGATGCATCCGAATTGCTTTGTATCGCGACCTCACTTTCCACACTGAATGCGCGCCGGATGGATACGCGGTAAGTAGCCAAGGGTTAGATCTTTGGCGGCAGCGCTAACCTGACTCCTTGCGCAGTATTCCATACCTTTCTTATTGGCCCTCTACGACTATTGGCGCAATCAACGCAATCGACCGGTTGCGAAATGGTCCGCTCCTGAGCGTCCGCAGAATGCGCATCTGCGTGCCGTAGCTACCTTTGCCAGTCGCATGCACAATTTCCTCTTTCAGAGCCGCCTGAGATATGTCATAGCGGCCTTTTTTCTCCTAACTGGTGGATACATCACCATAACGTTCAGTCATGGCTTGCAGTCAACATACATCTGCCCCAATACTTCTAGTGTATATACGCGCATGCGTGTCTTCACGATCTTCAGCCTCATTCTCGACTCGTTGATCTTAATCGGCGCGGCTGAACTGGCGAGTGAAGGATCCCGGTCGGGGGACACCATCAGGAAGCCGCCTTTGGCTTCCTGGGCCTATAGCCTACTGGTGCGTCAATGTGACATTTTTCTCGAACTTAATCAAACTGACCATGATCTGAAAGGGAGTGGCTATCTTTTATACCATCGTTGTTATCATTCTCGTCGCTACTTCCGACGGCGACGACCGCTTCATCAGTGCTCAATACCTACGCAGTGCGGTGGGTCAAGCAGTGCTGGTGACTTGTGTGGTCGCTGCGGCGTCCCAATTGGTAGGTTCGAGAAACCGTCTATTGTGGCCAAATGCTGACTGATCAGATCCCGTACTATGGTATCGCTGGGCTGGCTGTGCTGGCGGGCTTCGTCACGCTCTACTTCACTTGGGCGTCCACTCTGTTCAACGGACAACATCCATTTCCATTGATTTTCGCCTCCCGCGCCTTCGCGGCTCTTTTCTTCATCTTTGCGGGAGCCGTAGCCTTTCTTTATGCTCGAACTGCTTCAGAAGATGAAGCGCAATTCCTATATCGATTCAACCTGGCTATGCGAATTACTTTCGCTTTTCTTACTGTAATCGGCCTCGTCCTGGTGCACCAGCAGCATAGCGCCGCGCATCTGCATCCTATTGATCTGCTTGTGTACGACGGGAGACAGCACCATGATCAATGGCTTGCGCGGGCCAACAGCAGTCAAACTCTCACCGATGCTGTTAGGAAGTACCGCGCCCAGTACAATCAACATCCACCACCGTGCGTTCTCTCACGATTGTACACCTTTAGCTGGAGCTAACCAGACCAGGAATTTTGATAAGTGGTACGAATATGCTGTCAACCGATCTTCCCTAGTCATAGACGAGTTCGACCAAATATATGCAGACCTTCTACCCTTCCGCGCATTGCCGCCTGCGCAGATCCGGGACATGACGCAAAAGCTGGCGACAAACCCTTACAATGAGATCGGTGCGATCAGCATCCGCAACGGCAAAGCTCGAGTACAGGAAGGGATCAAGCCCACGCATGCGTGGATGGTAATTAGCGCTTCCAAGATGATCGAGAAGTTTGCCGAGTTCCTCCCGGATATGGATCTCGCATTCAACCTGAACGATGAGCCTCGGGTTTCTGTTCCCTGGGAGAAGGTTTCGGTACTCCGGCACCAAGCGAGATCTTACGGTTTACCACCGGAGGACAGCATCCAAACCGAATGGTCGACTGATCGCGGTGCTCAGTGGGGACCAATTGAGCCGGCCGACCAGACAACAGAAACCATGTTCGTTGACAACTCCTTTAAGCACATCTTCGATCGCTACGTGAGCTCCACCTGCCCACGCTCCTCCAAAGCTCGCAGTCAGCGCATCTGGGACCGGCGACACATCTGCCTCAGCTGCGTTCGTCCCCACTCGCTGGGAGAGTTTCCGTCCGACTGGACCGCTGCGACAGACATCTGCCACCAGCCCGACCTTGCCTCTCTGCACGGGTTCTTCCTGTCCCCAGCATCCTTCAAAGTCACACAAGACTTGACCCCCGTCTTCAGCCAGAGCACAATCGCCGGCTTCAACGACATTATTTTCCCCAGTCCTTGGAACTACGTCGACAAGATTGAATACAAGCCATCAGAAGAACACCCCGATGCAAACTACACCGACAAAACCAACACACTCTTCTGGATCGGCAGCACATCCGAAGGCGTCAGCAACCACGGCGAATGGAAAGGCATACCACGCCAACGCCTCGCCCACCTCGTGAACAACAACACACTGAACAGCGTCTCCGTCTTTCTCCCCACCAACGAAACAGACACGTACATGTACGAAGTCCTTAACGGCCGCGCCCCCTCCGACATCCTCCATCTCGACACCTCCGTCAACGTCATCGACCCCATCGTCCGCTGCCGCAGAGAAGACTGCGACGACCAAAGCAAAGAACTCGGCGCGGCCTCCCGCGTCGACTTCCAATCCCACTGGCAATATCGCTACTTGTTCGACTCGGACGGTGCCGGCTTCAGTGGCCGCTTCCTCCCCTTCATGCAGAGTCACAGTCTCCCATTCAAGACCGGTCTGTTCCGTCAATGGTTCGACTCACGTATCACCCCCTGGCTGCACTTTGTGCCGATCGATCTTCGTCTGCACGGATTATGGAGCACCCTGGCGTACTTTGCCGGCGTGGACACGACTCTCACGGTAAATGGCGCCACAAGGCACGTCCACATGCCGCCGCACGATATCGAGGGGACTTGGATTGCCGAGGAGGGGCGAAAATGGGCCAACCGAGTGATTCGTAAGGAAGATATGGAGATTTACTTCTTCCGGTTATTGCTAGAATGGGGACGGATAACTGATGACCAGCGAGATGTGTTGGGATATCGACTTGACATGTAATGATTATGATGTTTGTTTATATACCTATGGGTTCTGTCATTTGGAGTAGTAATAGTAGAAATATGGAAAAGAGGGAAATGAGAAACATCAATTCAATTGTAATTGTTCTAACGAGTGGCGGGTATAGTAGTATGACAAAGCGAGCGACTAGTACCTGTAGTAAGGTACCATGATGTAGTAGTTTATGCCCGTATAGATCCGGATCTATACATGCATGCATGCATGGATGATGCACCGAAAGAGTAAACCCAAAACAAAACAGCCAACCAACCAACCAACCAATCAAACGAAGGACTGAAATGCCAACAAACCAACTGATGTATCAATCAAGATGAGCGTGTGCGAGATGAAATGAAGATGAAATGGATGGAATCAGACAAAACGAGATGAGACAGACGAGGAGGAATCGATTAGAAAATCATGCCCGCCATATAATTCCTCGGCTCCCACCTGGCCTTCTTCACAAACGACGGGCTAGGGAACGACGAAGTCGACGTCGACGCGTTCAGCATCTGACCATGATGGTTTCTTCCTCCCCTCCAGGGACGAGAATCTTCATCGTCATCATCATCATCGTCGTCGTCGTCGTCGTCGTCGTCCCCATCATCATCTGAATCATCATCCGAATCAGAGTCGTCGTCGTCATCGTCATCGTCGTCGGAATCATCGTCCCCATCATCCTGATCATCATCTTCATCCTCGTCGTCATCATCCCCATAATCAACCACCCCAGCAACAGTGCTATCACCATCATCCTGATAAACCTTCAACGAATTAATACTCCAGTAAGCGTCGACAAAAGCCCCCGGATTATTCGCCACATAACTACTGCACGAGCTAGCGACGGACGCACAACTGCCCGAGCCCCAGACATTACCGGCCCAGTCGCCGCAGAAGGTAGTATCGAAGATCTATACCAGCATATTAGCGCCCCCCGCCCATCATCGCAAACCAACAACATGCAAAGAGCAAAAAAGAAGGGGGGAAAGGGGGTGGGAGAACATACAATCTGCAACCCATCAAAATGACTATCAATATCACAATCACCTTGAAACCTCGCAACAGGGGAACCCCAAGAATCCGGATCCGGATTCCCGGAATCAATATCATCAGGGATGCTCCCCCGTTCGAAGAACCAGATACTAATCGCATCTGAAGTCCACTCGGTCGCGAACACGCCGCCGCCATTCGCGTTGAAGGCGGTTCCGTACGAGGTAGCGTCGGGATCAGTGATACCACACCCGGCGTTACTAGATTGGCCTGCGGCGTAGACGTAGCAGTTGTCGGTGGTCATGGAGCCGGTGAAGTCCGATGAGGAGGAGATGCTGCAGCCGTCGCTAGTGTGCAGGGTCATGTCGTTGCCGGATTGTTGGTTGACGCCTTCGATGATGTCGATTTCGCCGTTGTTGGGCCAGTCGGCGCCGACGAGCCAGCTACAATGAATTTGTTTTAGCTTTTGTGTCCAATAGAGATGTTATGAGTGAAGGGTGGAGGGAATGGAGAGGGGGGCTTACAAGGCAGGCCAGGTGCCACAGATACCTCCGGGCATGTGTTCGAGGTCTAGGATGAAGAGACCATGGTTGTAGGTGGCGTCGCTGGAGATGCGAACACTTTGACGTCCGCTACTGCCGGCGACGTTGGTGTGGTCGACACCCATGTAGACGTAGTCGCCGGAGGTGGAGATATAGCCATTGCTCTGGGCGGTGGCTTCATCAACGTAGTCAACGAAGCCGTTGGTGGGGTCGGTGTCGGTGAAGAAGGAGAAGCCGTCGAAGAAGCCAGAGCCGGAGTAGTCGTCTTGTAAAGTGTAGGCTGCAGAGCTGAGCTGCGCCGTGAGGCCTAAGGCCGAAAGGAGAGTCGCGGTGCGTCGCATCGCGACGAGCATGTATGAATTGAAGGGGGGTTTTTTTTTTTTGTTTTTTCTTCAAAGGAGAGGTAGAGGAGTTTCTTTGATTTAGACCAGCTAGATTGATGTTCTTCCTCTGCAGAAAAGCGGATGGTGAAAGGAATGAAGAGAAGTAGATATTTATATGAATGCGTAAGATGTCTCTTGCGAGATCTAAGGAATGGAGCCGCAGCTCAATCGTAGCAGCAGCAGCAGAAATAGGCAAAGGAATGTTGGTCTAGAGACGAGGTCTCTGAATTCGTCGAGCCATGGCCGAGAACAGGGTTATATACAGCGCGTCGTGCGGGAGAGAGAGGAAGAGGGTAGAAAGTTAGAAAGTTAGAGAGGTGTAAAGAGACAGACGCCGAGACAGGGGGCCTCGGGCCTCCGGGTCTGGTCAAGCCTTCAAGCAGAGACACTAACGATCTGTGTGGCGCCGACTATGAACAATCCACAGCAGCCCACCGGATCAGAGCGCAGGACCAGTCGGGACCTGGCGAGGCCAGCTGCGAGGTCCATGTGGATTGATTGATTGAAGCCGTTAATTTAATCCGCGGACCAATATAGGGCATGAAAACGGGCAGCGAGAAAATCAACTGGGCCAGTGACAGGCGATCGGGCACATTCCGGAGTCGAGGGCTCGGCCAATGGAGGCGAGTAGAACACCATTTTGAGTGAAAGTGCTGCAGGCTGGGCGTCTAGTCAAACCGCGCGGAGGATGAAGATCAGCCCCGAGATGGGAAGGATTCCGCAAGCAGTTGCAGCCAACCCCGAGATTAGGACAGGGCCACGCGATGCATCTGAAGCCCAATCAAGAGGGCCTGGTAGGGGGAAATTAGCCGGCAGCATCAGCAGATGAAATCCCCGCCCGAATGCAGAAACTGGAATGCCACTCACCGACGTTGTTTGGTTTCTGTCGCTTCCAATGGCCTTTTTGACAGCTCGTGGGAATTTGCCTCCCTCGGTCAGCCGATCCTGCGAGAACTATCAGGACGTATGCAAGTATAGACAGAGAAATTAAGGTAGAGATTAGAGTAGAAAAAAATAAAACGTTGAAGGGAAAAAAATGCTATTAAGACATCGTCATCACGCTGCCATCGCTGGTTCATTATGTACAGGGCACATCGGGCATGCCAACAACTCCTCCCACTCCGATCCTCCTCGGTGAAACGGCCCTCCACGATGCTGGTATTGATGATGGTGCCGGTGCTGGGGATGCACAGGATGCCCAGTAGTCGATGGATCAACCTCCAACAGACATCGCCGATGGTAGAGATGCCGGCAGGAAAAGACCACGACCGGCCCAGCAGCCACCGTCGCGTTCTCGCCATTCACACCCTCACCATCTGCTGCGGCCGCATGCCCATCCATCAGCGGGAGCGGCTGACCTGCATCGGCGGCCTTGCCCTTCCCCCGTGCGGTCGCCGGATCATGTTGTGCATGAAGTCGTTTCTGAAGACGCTGCTCGTGCGTCTTTTCCTGTTTCTGCTCCCACGCCTGCCAAAACTGGGGTCCAACCCCAGGTCCCCAGATGCGCTGCCGGCAGATTTCGCACACCTGCCCGCGTGGTCGCCATCCCCGCTGCCGTAGTCGCGTCACCTCGTCCACATGCACAAACAGGTCCCGGTCCAGCATGCCGTTGGCCAGTGCCAACAGGGATTTCTCATACGTGTAGGCTGAGAAAATTGAAGCCAGTACCGCCCGCAGCTCTAGCAGGGAGGGCGACCAGCTGGCCGCCCGCGTGAGGAATGCCCGCAGAATACGGAGGAAGCTTACATCGCTCCGCTCGCTGCTTGACGATCCGCCAACTCGCACCGTACTGGAGAGCAGCGATGTGAACACCTGCTGCACCAGGGCGCGGAACGCCGACATCAAGTGGCTGGTTGCCGGAGTCACTGGGGCTGCACGCTCTTGCTGCATTAAGCCAAACACGCTGCTGGCCGTCCGCACGACGGCCTCGATTAGATCGAGCCATAGACTTTCGTCGAAGGAGAGAGGTTGCTCCAGGACACCCTTGCCCGTACCATTCCGTTCCACCGCGCGTGAATTCTTCGCCGTCTTGCTTTGCCCTTGGCAAAGCCAGGTCCCCACTCGCGTAAATTTGTCAAGAGACTCAACGAGATGGTCGATCGCCTCCGTCGTGCTGGCAGAGTCGGGACTATCGTGCAGGTTCTGCAGAATGCCTACCAGTCCCGACTCGAGGGTCCCCAGATGTGTGATGAGACGATCCATCGCGGCCCGCACCTGGCCTTGTCGAGCCAGCAGGATCACGGCCGCGTCCACCACCCCACTCTCTTCCATGGATGGCAACAGCTCCTCCAGCCGGACGTCTCCGACCCGTAGATCATCTACAAAGTCGGCAACGCGAGACGGGTTATACTTGCAGAGCAGCTGTACATACCGCTCGACCATCCAGTTCTCGATGGGCTTACTCTGTCGTCCCTCCGTCACAGACTGCAGAGACATGCGGACCACAACGCCCAAGTACTGATACTGCCGACCAGTATCGTCTTTGAGGATGTTGAGGAAGGTCCCGTGGATATCCGGTGCGAGCCCATGCATCGTCTGGGCGGCCTTCTCCACATCAATTGCGACCAGCTGGCCAGCATGCTCTTTGACCACGTCAACAACGTCACGTCGCTGCTTCTTACCGAGTCCTGAGCCAGGTCGAAGGCAGTCTTGGAGACAGGTAAAGATGGCCTCCTGCTCATTCGGATCTTCGAGGTATGTGCGCACTAGCTCCGGGTACTGCTTTTCAGAGCGATAGGTAGCTTTCAGAATCCGGAAAAACCGTGCTTCCTTGTAGAGCGGGATCATGCCCTGGACGTTGGGAGGATGGTAGAAAGACAACAGGTACTCGGCGCTCAATTCGCAATCGTCAGCCATATCCAGGCTCGGGTATCGGCACAGCCGCTCCAAGACCTGGTGAAGAGTGCTGCCCGGGAGGAGAATATATTGAGGATATTTAGGAAGGTTGCGCGCAAGGAACATGTCTAGATAAATGGTATCAGATGCATCGAAAGACTGGGTCATAACCTGTAACAGAATGCTGATAAGATATTGTCGGTTAATGGACACTCCCCGAACTGGAGTCTCGTCGGGTTCTTGCTCATTCAAGAAACTGTCCTCGAACGCCTCGTTCATCATACTCATGAAGCTGGATGTGTCGAATCGCAGCATGGCCTGGAGCTCGGGAAACGACCCGCCTAGTTGAGCTCGAGCTCCAGCTTTGGTACCAGATGGTTTGCCAGAGAACAAGTAATCGTACAGGGTCGCTTTGGCTCGGGTCGCCTCAGCGTCATCCATGTCTGTCCCGGTAGGATAGACACGTCCGGTGAGGACGAAGGAAAGATAAGGGAACATTTTCATCGCATTAGTATACCGCTTGAGTCCATCCACCGACTCCCCGTTGACGAGAGCCTCCGGTGTCGGAATGAGCTGCAAGAGCTCCTGCAACGGACCCACGTAATCTCCCAGGCAGCGGTTCCAGACGTAGATAAACGCGTCGTACAAATTATGATGCTTACACAGCGAGGTAGTCTGGTCAATGTCCATCGTGGCGGTATCCAGCAGGCAGATGATCTCTTCCAATCGGCTAACGCTGTGGTTCGTCGCAAAGTGGTTGATCAGTGCCTTCACGGCAGTCGGAGGAAGAGAGCGGACGGTCCCTTCCACGATATACGGTTCGAGCGCATCCAAGAATATTCCCGGTGAGCCACTCTCCTCGTACCAGGTAAACACCTCGTCCCAAAGGAAGTCCTCCTCGGACATACAGACGCACGCCGCGATGGATACCTCGGCTAACTTCTCAAGCTGTCCGTTTCCCAGCCTTCCGCTGTTCGCTTCTGTATTGCGCCCAAAGGCATACTTCAGCGAAGCCGAGATCATTTCCTGGAGCTTCTCTCGAACTAACGGCTGCCTCAGTGCATCCTCCTCCGGTAATTCAATGGTCAGCTTCTCGGCGCTACCTTCATAGTATGATGTCGCCAGCTGGATCGCACCAATAAAGTCGCCGGCTTCCATAAGGGCTAGCAACCGATCCGCCCAGTTCGACAGGCTTCCCATCAACATCTCGTTGAAACCTAAGAGAAACAGGCGTCCCTTATAGGAGCGGAAGCTCATATAGAAGGCGTCTGCCACCACTCCATGCATCGAAGTATCCTCTTCATTGAACTGCTCGACCAAGCTATGCAGCTGGGCGGAGAACAGATCCACATGGTAGATGTGCCGGTTGAGGAGGTCAACGGCTTCCGTGACACGCATGGTGTGGTCTTCCAATATGAGCAACTGCTGTGTGATAGTGAGCACTGCCAGTACTGAGCGACTCAGCCATTGCACGGCAACAATCGCCTCGTCGGCCTTCCATCGGCTCCTGGGTCTGAAGGAAAGGCTTGGAGGACGATCACGGCTCGGTGACTCGTCGGTTTCCACCTCCGAGATGTCCATCACCGTCAGCACGTTGGACCAACAATAGACAAGCTTCGTCTTGGAAATCTCTGAATCTTTGCCCTTGAGCCGGATGGCGGGGAACCAGGCAAGGGCTCCAGTCATGGCGCCATGAGCTGTTACTTCTTTCGGACGGGGTGACTTGTGCTGTGTCTGTGCGACAGGCGTCGTTGAAACAATGACAAGGAGATACGGTGTAAGCATGGCGACCAGGCCTAGCGAGTCGGTGGATTGCTCGACATTGCCAAGCGGGAGCGGCGAGAATGCCAGGACGGAGCTGGGCTTTCGCGGTCGACTACCTTCCGCGAAGACCTGGGGATAGCGACCCAGAATCCGTGTAGTCTTGACCGTCCGTCCCATTGCGCCCATTCCTCGAGTAGCCAGGTGTGAGAAGGCCATTCCCCGCTTATCGGCTGATACCAGCGCCGTCCGTCGCGTTCCCAGGAATCCCACATGGATGACCGGCCCACCCGCGATATGACCGTCCGATGTTCGAGTCTCTACCTGACTAGCAGGTATGGGGGGGATATGAAGAAAAGGCCGCGCTGACCGCGAGATTTCCCAGGTGAATATGTCGCTCGAAGTGTGGCCTCCAGCAACCGTCGAGTGGTCTGCCGAAAGCGCTAACGATGTGATCGCGCCACATTCAACAGCTACATTGCGCCAAGTCAGCAGAAGGGACCTCAGCCGAGTTGAGGATCAGACGTACCCTTTGTCCCAAGTCCAATAATGGTCTTCAGGTTTTGCTGGTAGTCAAATACGAGGATGATGCCCTTGGACGTACCAACCACAATGGACGTCGAAACGACCATGCAGGTGGGATGCCCAAAGTTCCGTTTTCCAACTTCCGAGAATGCCTGCCCATTGAGCTTCTTCAATCTAGTCCATTGCACAACATCCCAGGGGCCCAGAGGGATGTCCGCGCCCGAGTCCACGGTCCCCGGCGATAGATGGCTGGTAAGGGAAGATTTTCGGGAGTGGATCTGGGCTAGAAACGGGGATGACGGTCGGAAACTGACTGGCGATGCAGAGGAGAGTCTGGACTGGAAACGACAATCGAAAGGGCGATGGGAAGGACTGGGGCTGAGGTGAGGAGACCCGCGGAGGGCCAACGCGCTGCTGCTTCGCGACGATAAAACAGAGCCCTATTCTCATCAGCGGGGAGTCAGGGCGGAACAGACATAGTCGCGACCAACATGCAAAGAAGGGGTATCATCTGGCGTCGAGAGGGTCTCATCCACGCTACCGGGAGCGCCGGGCTGCCCGGATTGCGGCGAGGATGGGAGGTCAGTGGAATCAGCGTCAACAGGAGGGCTTGGTTTCCCCGAAACATGGTTTTCGCTGGCTACGCCGGGGAGGTCCTCCTCGAAGTAAGCCATTGGGCCATGATCTGGCGGCTCCTGAGTGTTGACATGGTCGGAGACACCGTTGCGGGCGGGCGGGGAGTGTTCATCGTCTTCCTGGCCCAAGTCGAGCTCATCCTCTCGTGCCCAGTCATTACTGGTCTCGATCATGGAGCTCATCGGCGGGATGTTCGAATGACCATCGCTCCAACTGTCTTGTTTGATAGTAGCAATGAATCGCAATGAGGGTCTGGACGGAAATTGTACGGTGAGGCGCTGGTGGTCTCAACAATCGATGTCACGAAGCTCGAATGGGGCAATAAAAGTGGAGGCTGGCCGGGATCAACGGGGGGCTGGATGTCAGGCTCAGGGCGGCGGCAGACACTCGGAGACAGCACAGCGAGGAGACGCACGAGCTGTTCAGGTAATGAAGATATGATGCCGAATGGGGTGAGGAATGGATCTAGGGAAGGAGAAGAGGCCGCGACGAGCTTGGATTGAACTGGACTGGAGGAGGCAATGGAGAAGGACCGGCCAGGCAGAGATACCGGAGATACCCACCGGCGAAGGAGGAGTTGGTATTCTTGGTATTCTTGGTATCTTGGGTACGGTTACCATTACGCTCCCAATGGAGCCCCAGGCGGTCTAGTCCCAATTCGGAAGGGACAGGAAGATGGAGTGACCACGGATGCCTGGGTGCCTGGATGCATGAATGGCCATTGTCTTGATCACTACTATCTAGATAGATAGATAGATAGAATTGGACCGTTACAGTACATTTTGTTTATTGTTCTTCCCCCTTTTTCCTTACATGTTGGTAGTCGGTTTACCTAACATTACCACAAGACCTAAACATCTTCCCTCTTCCTTGTGGGGACAGCAAAACGATTCTTACACGCGATTGATGCTATTCCACGTGGACGGTTTCGGAAGAGACATCCAATTCATCAACTCAGCGGAGACGTCACATCTACCTATTTCCCAATACTTAATATTCCGCAAATTAATCGCTGGGATCGACTCTGTGGCTGAAGAGTCAAATGTTGCAAAAGCCGAGGTAAGCATGGGGCTTTCCTTGTCCATGCCTTAGGCATCTTAATCCCCCCACCCCCAAAAGCATGGGAACTCTCCTTTCTCTCTTAGTTGGTTCAGCACCAGAAACACCTAACAAAAAGGAATCAGCATGAGATGATGGAAATTACAGTGATATTTCTTCCCCCCCTCACGTCCCAATCATGAACCGACATGGTGCGCGGCTGTCAAGCTTCTGACCTGCATGATGACGGATCCCATGTGACAAACAGTCCCTCTATAATCCCCCCTCACCAGGTCTTCAAGGAAATGCAGTGAGGGAGGTTATCCATATTCCATCATGTTTCCAACAGCCAGCCATTACTTCCAGTCAGGAACTTGCATCTAGCGCCCCAGAAGGCCAGCCTAAGGATCTGCCAATATATTCAACCGCCTGGCTCCGAACCAACTACTCGTCGTCTCCTTTCCAGACCCCCGCTTGATTGGATTGCAGTGGCACGGTCAGCATTTACTAGTTCTGCACTCGGGAACTTAGCCCTTGGACTTAGAGTGTAGAGTAGTATTGGCTATTTAAATGCTCTCCCGTCGGTCCTATCATGATGCTTAACCGTGGTTGCCCTGTCGGTTGGTGTCCGGGTTGGGGTTATCACACTATCCCTCATCATCACCCGTGCAGGTCACAAGCTGGCAGATGGCTCCAACAAGCCACTGCTGATTTCATCAGCAACGGTTGGCGCGGTCATTTTAGCAGAAGATGGAATATGGACTGAACATCGTACATCAAGGGCCAGGGTATAAATAAAGCCGGTGCATTCCTCATTCATCGGCATCCCCCCTGCCCGTTACGGTAGCCCCCCACTGTCGAACCTAGCAACAACTGCGTCTAAAGGACCAGGAACGCCGTTGCATGATGATGTTCCCCCCATCCATCCTCTTCGGCCTGGCGGTGGGCATAGCATCCATTGTGCCAACTATCGCGCAGTCCACCTGTAACGGCCAGGCGGAGTACTGTGATCGCCGTTTTTCCAATGTTACCCAGGTCGGCGCCCACGACAGCCCCTTCGTTGGGTCGCTCCTCTCCGATAACCAGGATCTCAGTGTCACCCAGCAGTTGGACCTGGGAATCCGCTTCCTTCAGGGCCAAACCCACAAATCTGAACTGGATGATACCATCCTCCTTTGCCACACGTCGTGCCTGCTGGAGGATGCGGGCAGCCTGGAATCGTTTCTAACTACAGTCAAAACCTGGATGGACAGCAACCCGGATGAGGTGGTGACTCTCCTCCTTACAAACGGTGACAGTCTATCGGTATCGCAGTTCGGCGATGTCTTCAACAGTTCCGGTATCTCAGACTATGCGTTCGTGCCCAGTTCGTCTCCAGACACTTTGGCCATGGATGAATGGCCGACCCTACGAGAATTGATCGGAAATGGCACGCGGCTGGTGTCTTTCCTTGGTAAGCAGTGGCCAGGTAGTCGTGTCCTGAGAAGCTTATTTGACTGGCTTTCCAGATTATGGCGCCGATGCTTCGACCGTCCCATACATCCTCGATGAGTTTGCGTACTTCTTCGAGACCCCTTATGATGTGACGAATGCAACTTTCCCCGACTGCAGCATTGACCGGCCCGCTGGTGCATCCGCCTCCGGACGGATGTATATTGTCAATCATTTTCTGGATGTCGACATATTGGGAATCCTCATACCCGATAAGGATCATGCATCCGACACCAACGCGGTGTCGGGGTCTGGGAGCATTGGAGCCCAGGCAGACCTGTGCTACTCCATATACGACCGCTTGCCCAACTTCATCCTCCTGGATTTTGTCGATTTGGGTGAGCCGATCGCGGCTCAAAGTGAACTGAATGGTGTTTAGAAAGCTCATTGTCCTTCTTTCCGAGCAGTGTGGCTCTTGGTTTACCCGCCTGATGGCACGCCATGTAAATCCAGCAGTGCTCTATCAAAAAGGCTTACCAATCGGGATAAAATGTATTTGCCATTCCGCTCTTCTGTCAAATCCAAAGGAGAAGGCCCCACACTGCGTGCGGACCGTCGAGGTCTATTGGTTATAAGATGCCTTTTAGTCCAAAATGTCGAGCAGATAGTAACGCCAAATCGCCCCAGTGTAGCTTCCAAGACACTTCGAAATTGTTCACTCATCCAATTCAACCTGCATCTCGCGTTCTGTTATAAATTTGGGATATCTGGGTTAGCAATGCCAGACTTTAATCTAGCAGATTTCAGCCATACGTACCCCATATCTTGTTTGCCGATGCAACAATGACCTCCGCCTTAGCAAGCAACTTTTTAGCATAGCGCTCGGCCTCCGCTGGGTGCAGTTGATTCTTCTGGGTCTTCCGCGGGTTTACCTGTATTTCTTGGTTAGCACAGCCTCATCACACACTGCCATCAAAGTTTGCCACACCATCATAAGTATAGGAACAAGGTCCTTCGCATCAGCCTCTGCCAATGCTCTTAGATTGCGGAACCCATTTTCTCGGAGTAACCTGGCAGTCCATCCTTTCACGTAGGTAACCTGCGCCATTTCCAGCAGATCAGCACGCGCACCAGCCTCCAGACGATCTCGCATATGATCCAAGACTGCCGCAAGCATGCCCCAATTCATTCGCTGACAGAATTTCACGATACCCGCAGCAAAGCCATGACATTGTTGTGCCAGGGTTTGAACTGCCCCCCGCGGAATCCGATAGCGATTGGCTACTGCCGACAATGGCATCTCGTTACTCAAGTCCCGAAGTTGAAATGCCGTGTACGCTCTGCGGTATATCCTGGCCTGGTTCATCTGTTCTGGCGTATTCTCCTTGAGTGATGCACCACTTTGTGCCCTGCGGAACCATTAGCGCCTTCATGAATGATCGAAGGGGTTGTGAGCCAGCATACATCGTATTTACAAAACCTGGACTGACACCGACAAATTGCAACGCACGTAGCCCGCTTTCATCAAGGTTGTCCAACTGATCACGAAAGATAAGCCAGTCGATCGGAGTGGCTGTGGCCGCTTGCAAGGGCGTGAACAAGTAAAATATATGCATATCACCGTCCATGACAAAAGCTTGCAACGCTCTCTTCAACTCCTCAAAAACAAAGAGACCATCTTCGGGTGCAAACGCCGAAGCCACTACTGCCTGGCCAAGTTGTGTTGACGAGTATGATTCGTCGTCATTCAGTTGTACAAGTCCCTCGGTGGCCAATTCTTGCAGCGCTGAACCCATGATAGCGTAGGCTACTTTTTTATCCACTGTCAGGTACAGAAGGGTACATCTAACGTATTCCTTGATGGCATCGTTACCGGACACAAGTCCCGTCGCAATCGCTTCCAAAAGTGCTCTTGTGGGATGTGAGCTATTCTATTATCAAAGAATTGGGTGTTGGGAACTCACCTCTTGAGTCCTCTCTTCTCCGGGGCCAGGCAGCTTTCGATGGCAGGCATCTCTGCTTCTAAGAGGTCGCAGACCGCTTGTAGGTCGCTATCCCCACATATCAAGTAAGTCTCACCCGCATCGTCTTTCCCTTTGCGACCAGCTCTTCCACACATCTGTCGCCTTCGCGAATATCAGCCAATAGCACACTATGTTCGGTTAGGGGCGACTTACAGCATTGCGGGACCGACAAGTTCCCTGCCCATGCGGGCTCCATTGATGATAACTCTCCGTGCCGGGAGATTGACACCAGCCGCAAGACTGCAGGTCGCTATGAGTGTACGTAAGACACCTTGGTCGTACGCCTGCGCTATCAGTTCGCGCTCCTCAGCTGTCATCCCCGCATCTATAGCGATAGCTTAGCATATGCCTGGAAACAATGCGAATGGTACTTACGGTGGAACCCTACGCCTCTCACGAGCGTCTTTTCGAGGACCGGGTCCAAGCCGCTAGGCAAACTGCGTAGCTCAGCAAGCAAGTCTAAACGCTTGGTGAGCTCATCTGTGTTGTCCGCTGGGGCCGGCATCGCTTCGCTCATAACAACTGCTTGGATCTGGCACATATGGCGACTACCGCAGAATACCAAGGCGCCATGTCCGGCGCCAGCGGTGTCGATCGCCAGAGCTACAGTCGCATTTGTCATGGGGTTTGCAAGTTCGCGGAAGGTCGAGGGACGAATAACACGGTCTGGGGGCATCCGTTCCATAAGAGTTGCGTTAGACATAGACTTCAGCTTAGAGATCGTTTGGAAAAGCTGTCTCGAGGTTGCTGCAGGATAAATTGCATTCTCGTAAACTAGGTAATCATCAATCGGGATTGGTCGGTATGTCGACACAAAGTAAGCGGCATTCATCCACTCGGCAAGCATCTCTGTGTTCTTGGAATGGTCAGACAGATAGCTTTCAGGCTTGCGAACCGAGTCTTCAACCATACCGATAGGGTGGCACTCATGCCAATAATTTGGGTCCTCTGTCGCAAGAGAAGTAGTTTGGTGACCATGAGTTCCAGCAGATACCCGCGATGTTCATCATCAAGCATATGTAGCTCGTCCAAAACGACTACGCCTAAGTCGCCAATGCTACACTCTTCAATGGCGGAATTGATCAAGGAGTTCGCCTATGTGACAACACTTAGAGATGATTCGTGACTGCACGGGCAAAGATGTAACGCACCTTCTCAATTGTGCAGACAGCTATGTCCGTGTCTGCCCAGGATGCAGCAGTCCTGCTTCCACCATAGTACCCAGTGACACGAATCGATCGCTGCAGTTTGTTCCACCGATGGTGGTACAGTTTTTCATTGACTGCTTGGTCCTCAGCATCAAGGGTAATTTTCTCGACATCCTGTACGATGCGCCTGAGCCACTTGAGCTTTTCTTGTACCAAGGCGACATAGGGAAGGACAAGGATAGCCTTGCGCCCGGGGTTCTCAATGATACGCTTGAGCATCAGAACATCGGCCACGAGAGACTTCCCTCCGCCCGTGGGGGCTGTGTAGACTAAATGTCGGTCGCCCTTGAGGAGACCTGGCGCTAGAAGGCATGACGCCTGCCACTGGTAGATACTGCTGAGCCCAGCTGCGGCAAAATTAGCCACCAGTCCTGGAGGCAAGCCATACGTGGGATGATTCAGGGACAAATAGGGGTTGTGTGCAGGATCATGGTCGGTAGGAAACACATTCGGCTGTTGGCCACGACACACCGGCGGCGTCTCAGCAACCGGATAGATGTCGCTGGCGACCAGACGGGCCTTGGGAAGGATGAACGAGGGGCGGATAAAATCTACCGACCGACCAACCGCACCAGGAGCAGTTGTAGGATGTTTTACTCCCACTGGCCTGTGATCATCGTCTGCAGAAGGGTCCGGGGGTCGCTTGTTTCCAGCCAATGGGACTACCTCAAACGTCCGCTGGCGGGCAATATCGACGGATGTCTGGAAGCCATAGGTCTGAAATGGCTGCCCGGGTGGTGCAGACATGCCTGGGTCGACGTTTTGACCTCTGTAGAGTTATAGCGGCTCTCGTGGGGCTCCTATACGCAATGAGAATCATGGGAAGTATAATATGGTCGGAGAGTGCCCAGACAACATTGGGAGGGGTGGCTAAACCCGGTGGGACAAGGAACTAGTAGCTTGATTGGAACGAAACACCATAAAACTGTAGGATTAGACATCCAGACGTGCTGAATATTAGGCCAGGCCAAAGATAACACTGATGATAGTGGTAATGGGATCAATCATTCCAGAACCTTGGCGAGCCCCGTTGGTGGTGGTGATGGTTCTGGCAGGAACGCGGGTGCAACGCGCTCGTTTCGGGAAACTGCATCCCATCCATCCCACAACTGGTAACTACACTAGAGAGATGTGGGTGGCCAATCGGCCTCAGGCACCACACCCCCCGATCTAGTGCCTTGTCGGCGAGCCTAAGGCCGCAATGTGGTACTTACGTACACTACATACTACTTTGCTGCGAAACTTGATAGGCCCGAGTCACTCTGCTGTGAAATACGGAATGAATAAATTATGTCGGCTAATAAGTAGTCAAAATCTCAGACCCAAGATACGATACCGCAATGATAATATATTAGTGACAATTGATACTAGTAGGTGTGATTGAGCATTTTTTTATTTTTCTGTTCCCGTGCGGAAACGTTCCTGGATCGGCTCACCCGCTAATCGGAGCCCTGCTGATCCGCCAGTCGAGAGGAATGACTTACCCAACGGAGGTTGGTCGTGTGCTAGTCGATAGCGGCATGCATCTTCCGTGGGCAAGTGGCACTGGCCATATGGTGCCGAGCAGCCTCCCCGGATCTGATTGTTCCTCCACGGGCGAGGGAACTGAAGTTTTTGAAGTCGGCAGCCAAAAGAACAGAAACAGCAATATGAAATGATGACAATTGTAACCACATTGATCACAGCAAATCTTGCAGTAAGTTGGTGTCCAGTGTTCGCACCACCAACTCGAGCGATTCTACCCTGCGACCCAGTCGGGGGGCACAGACGTTGGAAAGAATCCAGCTGCCACGCTATTCCTTCCTGTCCCGCGCGCGCTCTGCAGACTAAAGGTAGGTGAGTAAGCAAGGGTGGCCGGAGAAGAAGCCCGGCTATCAGAACCCAACATTCATTATTGATCGCTAGTTGAACTTCAAGTTCATACCCCTCTCATACATACCTTCCGACAGGCATCGGGATACTCTTCTGGGGGGGGGGGGAGAACTGCATCAGACCCTGCCTCCATAAAAGCCTTCACTACGGCACTTCCCGCATTAATATCACAATATTAGTTTTTTACAGAACATTGTCTCGTGCGAGCTGGCTGCCTAGGGTCACCTGACTGATTGGGATCGTAACAGCCTTTTGGCTACGGAAGAACTAAGGTAAGGCCAGGCAGCCTCCGACTCCATACGTAGTGCTAAATTGCGGACCTGCGCAACACAAGTCTGGCTTACCAAGTATGTATTTTTTTTATTAACACGCCCCTTGATGGGTTGGTTCATGTGCGCCCTCTCCTCACATCCCGCGTTGCGAGCCTCTTGTGTACAGTCATCATCCCCATGATGCTACCATGCCATGCATAAGAGTGAAATTTTGTGGATATCAACTTAACAGCTCAACTTTCATCCTGAGAATGCTCTGGCTCAGCTCTACAAGGTCATTTACGTTGAATTGGCCAGAGTGTCCCAGGTAGGCGGATACCTCGGGCCAAAGTGCCATTCTTCTTCAACATTATTGAGCCGGAGGCTATGGGCCCGAAAAAGAAAAGGAAGGGTGAGAAAAAGAAAAAAAGAAACGAGGGTAAAAAAGAGCAAAAGAGCAAAGAGGGAAAAAGCCCACCCCCCAAGTGATCCACCCACATGTGGCCACTCACGCTTAAGCAGACTTGATCAGACTTACATTCCCCGTACACCGTATCATCATTAATCATGACAATTCGGGTGATTCTCCCTCACACATTAACGAGTTTTGTTCTGAGCGTCAATGCAGTGCTCTTTACAGGGAAATCCAGCTAATGAACCCAGCTATTACATATAATCCCACGGGCGCTTACCTGAGCTGAGTCTAACCTGTTGTTAATGGGTACATCGTAAAACATAAGTTGTTCCTTTCTAGGGCCCTCTGCAGGCACTAGTAGTCGGTTCCGAGGTGCCAGACTCCTTCATACCGTCCCCATCATAGTAGCGCGCTCTTTAGCATCGGACGATCGAGTCACCTTGCCGCGTTTACACCTTAACACGTTTTGGACGGTCGGGTAGAGTAGAGGCAGCCGAGCATTATGATTGGGGTTTGCGTTTCCGGTCATCAGATGATGATCATGAGGAATTAAATAACTGGGACCTTCAAACTGTAAATCCCCAATATCTCTGGTTCAAGACTCGAATGCGATTTCAATTTTCCCCCCAGGTATCGACAACTATTTTATCTATTTTAGTAAAGTGTGAGCGAGTCGTGACAAAATAGTCCGTCCGGCTTAGTAGTAAGTGCTTCGTAGTTGTTGGTTTAGGCATTTGAAACACCAGAGCCGACCAACCCCGGTCAATCTACCTTTCACGGGGACAGACCGTCATCTCTAAGCCACCAGACCATCCACAGTACCTACTTACTGCTTGTCACTTTAATATCCAATCCTACCTGGAGATACTATCCACACATTTGGTGAGAATATCAATTTATGGCTTCCATGTCATTTCCCATCTCTGAAATGGGGGGTGTAAACCATGTTGCTTGGGTAAAGGGGAAGGGGAGATTGCCAGCCTTGCTGAGGGCTGTAATGTGGCAACAAAAGTCAGGACGTCCAGCGCGGCAACCAAGTCGCAGCCTTATTGGACCAAGTTGACTTGCGGTTTCTGATCCCAGGAGTTTCCAAGGTCCGTTAGTCGCCCGGAGACCTGGGATGCCTTCCTGCTGGGCTTATCGGGATGATGGTGATGATGTAACTCAGGCCAGCTCCAAGTTGATCTACCTCGTAAAGTACGGGAATAGTGACTATCATTCCTCCAGGCACTTGGGGTAATCGAGATGATTGGGACAGAATTCCCCGGAGCACTGGTCATCATCCGAAGTATCTACCTAAACTGCTGCCATCCGGCCGGAACGTCCCTTCGGATGGGCCAAGACAATCGAAGAGAAGAAAAAGAAAAAAAAAAAATCCTCGCACCCAAACGATCCGCCGTCGCGGGGGAGATCCATAGTGAACCATGATAAGGAGTAAGTACCTTACTAGTAGGGGCTTGTTGACTTGCTAGGATTAGGAAGGCGAGTTGAAGTGGTAATATTGTTATTATACCCTAGACCAGGCGCTAAGGGTTGGGCCAAGTTCCCGCTCTGGTGGACGGATTACTGTTATCATCACCTCATCGCCGTAGCTGGACCACATGCGCCCACCTCTGCTGTTTCCTGCAGCACAGCGACAAGCGCCGTTAACTGGATATCATTCCCCTCTCTCCCGCGCGTTCTTGAACGGCTTGTCCCGGCAAGACTGGTCTCGCGGGCCAGGATCACACGGAAGTGATGGGGAGTAAATTTCCGCACCGGAGGGACGGGGCCGTCAGTCAGTGGCAGAGAGTGGGTAGTTCACATAAGAAGGCCCCGGGGCCTGCCTGAGGATCGACTTTGTGTCGCTGCTAATCACCACTAGTCAATTAGCACTGCAGGTCGAAGGGAGCCATGGAACTGGCACCCTCCCTCACCCTTTTCAGTCTTGTCGCTGAACCGAGTTTTCGGTTGTCCGCCTAAGCTAAAATGGCTTAGCATTTCCAGCACGTATCCATGCCTCCAGTCTCCGGTCGTACAGGACCACTTCTTTGCGCCAACAGCCCCTCCCCTTCCCTAGGTCACTCAGTAAGAAACCACCCCCGGGAAAATCTCTCTTTAGCATGGACCGTCGGTCCAAACTCAAAGACGGTGAAAAAGGCGAGTCCGGTACCATGTTTCAACCTCGATCGCCTTCTGGCTGGCCACCTGCTCACTGTCGGGTCGCCTCTGCTGCTGATGTGGTAAATGCTCTCCGCCTACGAGATTTCATACATGATGTTGCTGCTGCTGTTGCTGCTGCTAATACCATAGATCAACTGCCATATCCAAAGAAACTAATACTTTTGGACAAAGATTCTGCTCACATTCGCTGTACTTCTCATTCAAGTTATTAGTTACGTATTATTATTATATCTTTCCATTACTCCACAGTGATTCACCAGCTCCGGAGGGCGGTTGGGTGTCCTGCAAATAGGAGGCCCTGATTAGTAGTTCCAGAACAACCCCCGTAACAATGCGGTATCACTCCCACGAACGACCTCCCATGCCATGCCCTTGAACTCTTCAACAATCCCCCACCCGCTATCTAACCCGAGAGAATGCATTACGATTCAAAGCTAGTTTTCCCCCATATGAACAAAAAGACTATACTAAGGAAAGAAACTGCGAGAAGAAGAACCTCGGATCGTTTCTTGTCTTGTCCAGCCGACCCTGCTCCTGGCTACGATGCTGACGCCGTTTCCGTTGTCCTAGACTGAAACAGACGATATCCGCTGCGCCTTCGATGGCATGGATGGGTCCATCTGTCCACTCGGCACTCACTGCACAGGGACTTGGCGCTCTGGATTTCAGATCCAACGCGCATGCGCTGCCCTACGTGACAACATTCCTGCCACAGAATCGACATGCTGCCCTCTCGCTGATTCTCCTGGCCAGCGCCTCATCTCCCGCCTGCAGTGCCTTTTTTTTTCTATGCTAGTTACTTGACTTTTATTGACTGTTGACTGCCCGAGGATAAGCAATAATGGGAGGAAGGAAGGAGAACGACATGCATAGATCCAGAGTATTATAATGAACGAGTAAATGCATGACTGGATAGACCGATGAGTGAAATCTGAATGAATGCAAAAGATCGTTTGACCCGTCTTTATCATTCTTTTTATTATTATGGTTATTATTATTATTATTATCATTTCTCTTGATCATTTTCCTTCTGTTCCTTTCCCCCCGTTGCCCTTGTCCCCTTTGTCCGTCCATGTCCTCTTCCTTATTTTATTTTTATTTTTCTTCTAACTTACCCTTTTTCCTTTTTACTTCCAATTTTCCCCTGCTGCTTAATTTTAGGTTTCCAGGTCCCTCCCCCATTCCCCTTCCCTTCCATTCCCATTACTCTCTCCCTCTCTCTCTTCCCTCCCCGTTCTCCAATCGCCATGGCCCCTCTTTCCCGATATCATCATCATTCTTTCGCATTCGGGTCTTTCGGCCCACACAATTCCTTTTTCCTTTTTCTCCCCCCCCTCTCCCCCCAAAGGCCAGCGACTAACATCCGAGGGAAAGATCTTTTACTAGTACGAAAGTAAATCCACTAAAATTCAGCGTCCCGACGTAGATCACCCAACGGGTCAAACACGCCGCCGCCTGGACGAGCAAGGGGAGCAAGGTGCTATAAAAATAAACCCCGAAGCCCAGAACACGGATATCCATTCATACGTACATACATACATTCATGCATCCTACATAATACATCCATTGTAAACTGTTGGAGCAGGTCCAACAGTCATAGGTATTTCCTGGAAAGAGTGGGAGGCAAAAAGTAAAGAGAGCGAAGGGAGGGAAACCTGGGTACTACCGTCCGGGCCAGGTATCAAGGCCGGTTGGAGCCAAGCATGAGTAGAAATGGCCGGGATGGGGATGCGCAGATAGGATGAAGGGCCGATAGAGCGACTTGTGCGCAAAGAGAGGAAAAGCGAGAGGAAAGGAGGGAAAGCAACTATTCATCTGGTTCATGGGAGTGGATGGAGGATCCGTCATATTAACACATCGGGACTAGGGGCGAGGACGTGGACTGGTCGGGATCCTCGACGGCTTTCCTGATTCTTTCTGGTCTCTCTCACTCGCTCTCTTTCTCTTCTTCCACTCTACTTGGCTGCTGTTGCATTTCCATTTGCCTGTCCTTTTTCCTTTCTGACTTTTGACTCGCGTTCCCTTCCGGGTTACGAAAGACCTGCCAGTTTAGCTGCTGGCTGCTATCTTCGCCTCCCCTCTCTCTCTCTCTCTCTCTCTCTCTCTCTCTCTCTCTCTGTCTCTCCCCGACATCCACACTCATCCTTCTTCTTTCTCCCTCTTCCCTCTTCCCTTTCTTCCCTCCCATTACCCTCTAAATTATCTATCCCCTTCCCCCTTCCGATCTAAACTACGCCTCTAACACAAACTGCTTCTATCACTCCTACAATCCTCTCTCATCACAAAACTCACCCCCATCTGTATGGATTTGTGCTTTGCTTCCATGCTTGGGTAGTCCCGGTTCAGCATACATCATCCTTCATCAGTCAATCAGGTTACTACTACTAGTGCCGATTAAACGACGGCCCTTGTATCTAGCTCGCAGCACCTGCTCCTACACATTACGGACTGACTGACTGATTCCATAACTTTCCTGTGGTCGTACTTTTCTGCCACCTCCGCCGACTGGAGAGATCTGACTGGCTGCTGGTGCAAGTACTGATCTTATCCTGTGCTCACCCCACGAGTCTCCCAACGCCCTAAGTGGCTCTACTGCTTGTTTGGCTTCCACCGCCGCTAACCTTCATTTTACTACTCCGACGTTTCCAGCGACCCTTTCCCTTCTTTCTTCCCTCCCTCACTCACTCACTCTCACCTTTCACTCTTGCTTTACCTTTTCTCTCTTCCTCTTTTTCCCTCTTCCCTCCTACATTCTTTCTTCCCTCTTCTCCTTTTCGCCTCGTCGTTCATGCAGTTCGGTAGTCCCTCCCCCCCGCCGGTCTGCTTTCTTCCTGCTTCTTGTTGTTCTTTTGTAATCCTTCCGCCCCATTCGGGTTGGTGTTGTTCTTATCACTTTCCGGAAGCCTGTCGATCTTGATATTCCGCACCCTGTGGGCGTGTCCCAATTTTTGCCCATTTTAACACCCACCAATCTTGACCCTTTCGGCGCCCTTGCGGGAAGAACTGAGGGAATCAATCCCGACAAGCAAGCTGCTGCCACTTCTCCATTACATTACGCTTTTCTGGGTTTTGGCGGGTACCATCGATTGACGGTTCTCCAGTTGCTTCGGGCAAATATTTGCAGCGCGAGGCCTGATCCATTTTCCCTTTTTCCTCTTCTCTTTTTTTTTCGTGTTCCCTTTTTCTTTTTCTTTCTCTCTCCCTTCCACCCGGCTGCAGAGTTCCCCATTTCTCATGAGGGATCGTCTCTCCGTCCCGGCCCGTTGCTGAGCTTTGCATCTCCGCGTCGTCCCCATCCAGTTTGGTGTTCCCTTTACTCTTCCTATCCTGTGGACATCCAAACGCAAACCAACCACGCCGGAGGTGCATCGCCCACTCTTTTCTCTCTAACTTCCCCCCCAACAACACTACACTTTTCTCTCGGTATTCCGTCCCCTCTTATCTGAGGCTATTTTGGGAATTCCTTTAGCGGGTTGGCCATGGCCCCGGACAGGTCACCATCCCAAAAGTCCCCTCTCAATCCTGGGAAACCCAACTCATCATCGCCATCTGGCACATCCCGTCGAATGCCCACCCCTGGCCAGACTTCCCGAACGGGGTCGGTAGAGGCGCCCACCCCCCAAAGTGCCGCCACCGGGAACGACCTCACATCTCAACCCATGGCTGTCAGCGCGTCTGCTTCAGACGTCGCCGCGACGGAACCTCCCAGCGCGTCCACCACCCCGGCACCGTATGGGACTCGCTCCAGAGGTCGCAATGCCGCTCCCCGCCCCAATTATGCGGAAGACCGCGACATCGATGTCGACCTGGAGATCGCCCAACCAGTTTCCAAATCCGCCAAACGGAGTAGCGGTGTTTCCGGCAGCTTCGTCAATGGCGTCAAAGCCGACAGTGAGGAGCCCGTCTCATCGGCAACGTCGCGGAAGAGTCTAACGGCGGTCAATGGTGCCAATGGCGCGGCTGCTGCCAAAGACTTGATTCCTGGCACTTCTTCATTTTCCGCCAAGTTCGAGGAGGGGGCGGCACCCGCCTCAGCCAACTCTTCTTCCAGGAAACGGAAACAGCCGGCCAGTTCCACCACCTCCAATGCTGTGAGTGGGAATGCAGCCAAGAAGATCTTTACGACGGCCCCAGGACTGGCGTACAACCCGGCCGAAACCAACATGGTCAGTTTCGAGAGCCGTGGCGCCTATCTGAAAGATGGCAAACTCAGAGCCGATGACGGCACCACCTACGCCGTCAATGGTGAGATCTACCTCCCTCATTTTTCTCCACTTTTCTATTGTGTTCTTACTTGATAGCATTGCTGCTGTGGCATAAAATTATACTGAGTACTCTCATCTAGACCACGTCTACCTGATCTGTGAACCCCCCGGGGAACCGTACTATCTGGCACGGATCATGGAATTTCTCCCCTCCAAAGATGCCCCCTCCGGCCCGATCGAGGCACTGCGGGTGAACTGGTATTATCGCCCACGTGACATCCAACGCAAGGTCGCCGACACGCGTTTGGTCTTTGCCTCCATGCATTCCGACACATGTCCTCTCACATCCTTACGCGGAAAATGCCAGATCCAGCACTTGTCGGAGGTTACCGACTTCGACACGTACCGCAAGACCCGGGATTGTTTCTGGTACGACAAGATGTTTACCGATACATCCACCGCTACTACGACGTAATCCCAACAAGCAAGGTCATTAACGTCCCGAGTAACGTCAAAAAGGTTCTGGACGAGCGCTGGAAGTTCGTCCTGGTTGAGATTGGACGACGAAAGGAACTCACCAGTGCCGTGAAGACCTGCAAGCGCTGTAGCTTGTACGCCGCAAGGTATACCGATCCATACTCTCTGCGATGGGCTGATTCAGTCATACTAACTTTGGAATAGCAATGACTCGGTGGATTGTGCCGTCTGTCACAGCACTTATCATATGTACTGTGTTCGACCGGTACTGACGAAGAAGCCGGCCCGTGGCTTTGCTTGGGCTTGCGCAGCGTGCAGTCGCGCTCAAGAACGAAAGCTCGAGGCACGGAATACCCCGATATTGGGTGAAAATCAACCGGAGGCTGATGAGGAGATGGTCGAAGAGGAGGAAGAAGAACCCCATGGCGCGACGAATGGCACCACAAGCAGCACTCCGGCACCCGTGGAGGAAGAGGTGCGCCCAGCTACAGAAGAACAGGTTGCGCAGGCCAGAATGTGGCCCTATCGCTATTTGGGAATCCACTGCCGTGTCGAAGACGCCCTCGATTATGACGACCGCATTTATCCGCGCGCCAGCTCGCGATTGGGACCTCGGCATCAGGCTATGGTAAATGCCTGGCCAGGAAAGCCGGTGGAGTATGTCAAGCCCATCGACATCAAGAAGAAGTATATGCGAGGATCTGGAGGTCGCAAGGATTCGAAACTTACCAAGGAAACCGTGGCCGCCATCGAAGCCGCCAAACAGGAGAAGGCCAACCGACCGAAGTGGGTCATGGACGAGCCCCTGGGATATGTACGGCGCGGCGAAGATGAACCGGTCACCGTGGGCGGGAAGCAAGTCCGCACTGCAGAGCTAATGTTCAAGATGCCCACTGCAGACCAGGTTCCATCCTCTCGGGGCGAAGACGACGCGCCTGGTTCCCATCTCAGCCCCGCCGAACGGGAAAAGTTTGTGGACGATTACATGGAGCGCGCCAAGGCGTTGGCCCCTCAACTTGGGGAAGAAAAGTATGCCACTAATTTCCTCGACAAGGCTCTCGAACTCCTTTACTCTAATAGCTTCGACGCCGACGCGGCCCTGGCAAAGTTGAAGACGATGAACAAATACAAGGATCTCAAAGAGCCGCATCTACGCCCAGAAGAACTGAAACTCTTCGAACAGGCAGTTTCCAAGTTTGGGTCGGAGTGGCGGAATATTACCAAGTACGTGGGTACCGTGCCTCACTACCAGATTGTGAGATTCTACTACATGTGGAAGAAAACGCCGCGCGGTCGTCAGATCTGGGGCGCTTATGAAGGCAGACGGGGCAAGAAGGAAGCGAAGCGAAGCAGTGCGGCGAAGCTAGTGGACGATGTGGCCGACGATCATGATGACTCGGCGTTCGATAACGACAAGGCCGCCGAAAAGAAGCGTGGCTTCCAGTGCAAGTTCTGCTCGACGCGAACCTCCCGTCAGTGGCGGCGCGCCCCAGGTACTGCGCCCGGAACTACCACCTCGAGCGAGCCTGCGTCAAAGCAAAGGGACAAGGGATCACAGCTGACTGTGGCCCTGTGCCTGCGCTGTGCTTTGCTATGGAGGAAGTACGGTATTCAGTGGGAGAGTGTCGATGAAGTGGCCAAGAAGATCGCGCAAAGTGGTAACAAGTCATGGCGTCGCCGAGTAGATGAGGAGCTCCTGACTCAACTCCTCGTCTCCACCGAAACTCCCATCAGTATCAACAGTGCGACTGCAGCGACTGCAGCTTCCATCGGCGTCCCTGTGAACGCTAACCCACAGGTGCAGCAGGAGACTACGAAGAAGAAGGGAGGGCGGACCACCGAGAAAGACAGCGCCGCGACATCGACAGCCACTTCCGTGGAGCCAGCGCCAAAGAAGAAAGTCGCTGCAGACCGCATCCCTGAACCTCCACCAATCGTCCCTGATCCCCCGAGGGCTAAAACGCTCCCATGCTCCATCTGCAACAAGATGGAGCCGGAAGGCGACCAGCATCTGTCTTGCAGAGACTGCCGCCTGACCGTGCATAGAAGCTGCTACGGTGTCAGCCCGTCGCGTAACTGCGTCAAGTGGCTTTGCGATATGTGCTCGAACGATCGCGACCCCATGATCTCGACCACGTATGAATGTGTCTTGTGTCCGGTGACCTGGACGGAGCATGAATTGATGGAGGCGCCGAGGTCGACGCACAAGAAGAAGACCGAACGAGACCGGGAGAAGGAGCGGCTGGAAAAGGAAATGGTCAACGAGGCTATCAAGTTGTACCGACAAAGGCAAGAGGCCGTGGGCAAACCCATCGGTCCTCGAGAGCCGTTGAAGCGAACGGCCGGCAACAACTGGGTGCACGTCACGTGTGCCATGTGGACGCCGGAGATCAAATTCGGCAACGCAAAGGAGCTCGAGCCAGCTGAGGGGTTCGGTTTGATTCCAAGGGACAAGTGGCGTGATGTGTGCAAGATCTGCAAGAGCGATAAAGGTGCATGTGTGCCGTGCCATTTCAACAACTGCAACGCCCGCTTCCACGTGGGTTGTGCATTCCAAGCGCAGTACAAGTTTGGGTTTGACATTACTCCTATCAAAAGCTCCAGAAGGGATACCGTGAACAGCGTACGGCTGGGAGAAGAGGTTGGGTCGGCATCGGCGGGGATCTGGTGCTCTCATCATCCAGTGTCGGCGACAATCCATGAAATCGGCGAGCCTACAGAGGAAGAGGGTGTCAACGCTTTGCGGCGGTATGCCGAGGCATACAAACAAGCCGACCTGACCTTGACGGGAACTATTAGAAAAGCGGCATATGTGCAACAGTTGATCAATGTCTCACATCAGACTGCGACACCTTCCGCGAACCGCCGAGTTTCGTCTGTCCACAGCGTCACGGCACCCCCGGTAGTCTCGGCGGCTCCCGCAGCTCCCGCAGCTTCGACAACGCCAAAGGACGGTCACAAAACGCCAGAAGATGCTCCGGATGAGATGGTGATCGATTCTGAGAACCATGCCCCTCGGCCTGTTGCTGATAATGATGTGACGAGGAAGTGTGCGCGCTGCTCTAGTTCCTTCAGCCCCAGATGGTGGCCCCTAGACAAGTCGCGACGCACGACCGGAGTCGACCACCGGACGCCTCTGCTTAACGGGGTTGGTCTGAATGATCCTGTGGGATCTCGGTTCAGCACAGCCTCTGCAAGCCCTCCATATCCCCATCAGACTCCATCCCAGCATGCTTTGCCACGCCTGAACGGGGAGTACAGTCCAGAGAAGACTGCTTTGTCGGCAATCAACAGCGAAGGGCCGCAGACTCTGTACGAATGCCACAAGTGCCATCTTAAAAAGCCGGTGACCCAGGCCCAGCCATCGCCCGAGCCTCGTCCATCTCCCTACTCGGCACAACGGCCGGTCCTGCCTGCGCCTAAGCTCACTGAGTACCACAACCACCCGTTTGGCAACCACCATAGGCACCCGCCACAGTCTGGAGTGCTTCCCAGACCGATCGGTCTCCCTCACGGCGGCTCTGAGTGGCACCCCAGCTATGAACAGCGTCCGGCTGATTTCGGTGACAACAAGCTGCGCAACGGATTACCTGTTCCTGGCTATCGGGCAGCAGCACCGCCGCCGCCACCACCGCCTGCACACCATATGAACGGATTCCCGCCCACCCCTTCTCACCATGCTCCACCGCTATCCCATTACCCTCCGGGATCCCACGCTCCGCCGCAGCCATTCCCGACGCACCAGAGCCCGTACGGACCTGTTTCGATGCCCTCGCCTCATCTTTCTCACGCGGCAGGTCCTCGCCCGTATGCTCCGTCGGCATCGCCTCCAGATGTACATGCGACTATGGTCCGGCACTCGCCTCAACATTCGCTAAGCGCATTGAATGGTGGACCCCCGCCACGCGTCTACTCTGTGGATCGCGTGCTTGGAGCGCCAGCACAGTCGCCGCCCGTCTCGCAGGCACATATGGATCCACGAGGACCGACGCCTCCGGTTAAGCCCGAGGACACACCGGTAATACCTAGTGCTGCCAGGCATACCACAGCCAGCGGGACGAATGGCGGGTCAGGGGCTAGTGCGAGTCCGTCTTTGAAGAATTTGCTTTCCTAGGCCGCGATCATTTCTTACCTGCCACTGGTATAGAATACTCACTCCGTGTATTATAGCGCTTTTCTTTTCCGTCCCCTTTCTTTTCACATCTTCTGCATCATTCTCTTCTTGCTTCTTGATTTGGGGTCTGTTTCTGTCATGGCATGGTTAAAAGTGGGGGTTGGGATATTATGAGCTTTCTCATCAGCGTGATTTTAGATTTCCACTTATGAAGTGCGTTTGTTTCTTTATGTGTCTTCCAATGTTCTATTTTCCCTTTGTCAACCATCTATCTATCATCTGGCTATCAAAGTCTTCTCCTGTATGTTTCTTGATAATCATGAGAAGGCGCATACTCGAATGTTTTTTTGTTGAATGCCGTGGCTACAACCAGGATCGCATATTGCATGATCGGATGGGCTTTTTGCTAAGAAACACTCAATACAATTGACTATTAATATACCAAATCCCAGTTATCACATGTCCAATAATATACTCTATTATACCTATACTATACTAGCCTTGGATAATCTAAAGTGGTTAGGCTGGCTAGTTAATAATCCTAACTAGTTAAACTGACTCAGATTCTGCAGCCAACCTCCGGCATCGCGACTCATGTCCCATTGACCAATCCAAGTCGATAGTTATTCATGCATGCATGCAGTGGCAAGGACTGCTGCCTATCAAGGCAGAATAACTATATCCCTGGATATTAAGGTGTAAGTAATGCGGGGTAAACAGTGAGTTAGGTAGGTACTGATGTAAGACAGAAGTACCCTGATTGCCCTGATTTTTCCTGCTGCCTATCATTACTACCACCGAGACAGATAATTTAGCTGCAGGGTTGGTGGTAGTAGTAGTGTGACGAGACACGGATATGAGTATTGACTTATCTTTGACTTCATTGGGGAAAAAGGATGGATTGATCTGTTAGGGGATTGGTTGGTAGTGGATAAGGATGTGTTGTGTGTGTGTGTGTGTGTGTGTGTGTGTGTGTGTGTGTGTGTGCTGTGCAATGCATTAGTGTCATTTAGAGTAGTAGTAGAAATGATTGCTGTGTAGTATACTATCGTCGTGAGTGGTTAAGTACGCTGCGGGTGTGACTTTGGTTTATCGTGGTTGTTAGTTAGTGGGGATAGTACTTAGTATGTACTATGGTGATCATGACGATGGTGGACAGGGTAAGTAGTATTGGATATTGGTGTATGTATGTATATATGTAGTGTGTTATATGCGTGGATGGTGTGGATTGCATCTACTACTAGTATACTTCGAATGACCTTCTTTATAATATTCAGGTTGGCGGGTGAAGATACTCGGAAGTACTTTTCCATTTCATATTATATATATCATATATACTAGTGAGTAGTAGTGAGCAAGTACTACCAAACATAGATGAAACTTTCGAGCGAAACCTCCATCATCAAGCTATGGGATATTTTATCTCGGTTCCAACGAAGATAACAATACAAATACTACCGAGGCGAGTGTTCTCTCCTTGCATGTGTAGATACTTTAGTAGTAACTGAGGTGACCCGTGATCTTCCCCGGCCAGCCGTCCGGTCGGGGAACCTTGAACGGTTTCTATGCAAGCATTCTGATTGGTGACATTCGCGAACGAATCGGCAAGGCGGGATTTGCATTCCTTCAGTTCTGGGTATTAATAATCACCAGAACCCACTACGAAGTACAGCAGTAGACTGTTTAGAGTTGGTTGTATCATTAACAGTATATCATAGAGTTACAATCAAGGAAACAATAAGCACAGTAGTCATTCTAATAACTCATTATTAATGCTGTGTAGTTAGGCTGATATCGTACTAGTCGTAAGAGGCTTCCGCCATTCTCGTACGTAGCCTTGCCGCACAGGGTTCTCGTTTCCCTTAACCATGGGTCAGCCATCACATCATCCATCTTTTTCATGGCTTGGTTAGTGGTTAGGTAAGCAGTGTGACTCAACCTCCCTCCTAACGGTAGTTACTTATTGACTGGTTGTGGTTGAGGCAGGAGGGAGTCGACGTCACTTGTGGCTGATTCTGCTGTGCCAGTTAATCTGCCAGCTGCCCAGTTGCCACTTGCTGGGGAGAGAAGAAGGAGGAGGAGGAGGAGGAGGGTAAGGGAGGGATGAACTCATTCCCTTTGGCTTTTTGTGACTAGATCCATGTATTGAATGGTGCAATCACATCTACATAAGACATGCTGTACTGTGACCACGGAAAAGACCACCTAATTAAGAAGAAAAGAAAAACAAAATATAGAATATATACTTTTAAGTTGTCAAAAGAAAAAGGCATAAAAGTGCAATACGGGCAGTGCCAAGACCAGTAGACTAGGCTGCACTCTGCAAGCTGAGAGCTGAGCAGACCGCCATGTGGGAATGAATGAATGGGTGTGGGTGTGTGAGTGTGAGTGTGGGAGTTGTGTGGATGAACGGAAAGGATCGGGCGGACAGAAGGGATAAGATGGAAGTTCTAGAAAATAATAATAATAATAATAATAAAAGATGATGTGTGTGTGCGTGTGAGAGAAAAGGAAGGGAGGGGGAGTCAGTCAGTCAGTCAGTCAGTCTGCCGAAGGAAGGAAGGAAGCGGGCGGGCAGGGCGGCCAGAACAGCAATCCACATCCATTCATTCATCACTGACCAACTAACTAGTCACTGTTAAGGTAGGTGGTTAGGCTGTTACACTGACTCGTTGTCGTTGCTTTGCCTGTTGGTACGTCCTTCGTTGTGTTGCTTTTGTGGCTGGCGATCGACGGGACATGAACCCTTCTCTCCCCCAGGGTTCGTGAGTTTAACGGTGAGGGTAAAAGGGAAGTACAACACCTAAGAAAATAATAATATTATTATGATGTGGATTAAAACGGTTAAGTAAAATAAATTGCAGAGTCCTGTGTACGTACCTCAACCCAAGATGATGGGGAAAATGGGGAAATTGACTTGTTGATGTCATTTGCCTGGTTTCACTTTCCAGGGTTGAATCAGAGCCACTTTGGGTCAAACCCGCTCATCGTCATTTTAGCCGGTATCTAATCTAGACTCTCATAATGTAATGAATGATATTGTGAATAGAATTTGGTTAACTATGGCCGAATCATTTCCTCCCCGGTGATGATGATGGAGAGGACAAGTATGTTAACCACTACTAGTTAGTGTGGTGCGCATGCACCAAGTGAATGAATAATAGTATGTCGTAGTAATAATAATAATAATAGTTGACCACCACAAGGGAAATTAAATCATCCCTCCTTCCAGCGCCCGGTTAAGGCGCCAAGCCCCGCCCGGGAAATTCTAGAAAACCAACAGAGTCCAGCCTGGAGCTAATGAGATCGCTTGCTTAAGCGTCATCATCTCCACTTTTTTCTTTTTCGTTCTCTTTCTGTTTTCCTTTCCTCTCAGTCCGCTCTGTCTCTTTTCGGCTTGCTTGTTTTCTTTTTGGCCCTTTTGTGTTCTTTTCCTTTCCCTGTATTGTCATTTGTGGTTATCTTTGGTTCTGGACGGGCAGCAACTGAGGGGGGGGGTTTACGTATCCTGTGTTTAGGTCTCTCCACTGGTTCTTGTGGTTTTCTCGTTCAGGGCAACAGAATCATAAATAGTAATCATAATCATAATTAGAATAGTTATTATTATTATTATAATAATATTCGGGCATAATAATGCCTGAATAAATTCTATTTTCATTTGATTTTATTTTTATTGTCATGATGTTGGTTGATGAATGTGGAAATGCCTGGGTGGTGCAATGGTAGTCACAACTCCTGCAATGAATCTGCATCCTGGTAACTTCCATCGAAGTTCTAGTCGGATTCCTTACATCGGTCAGCCGAATACAGGCAACAAACGAGGAGTCCAGATGCACCACCGAGAAAGAGAGAGCAGGGAAGTGGGGAGGAACACAGAGCCGATCGTACCTATCTAGCTAGACTTGACTCAGGTCAAGACTCGACTCTAGTAACAAAGTAAGTATCTAGTCCGGGATTAATCTGTTCAGCTCCGAGGCAACCCCCGTCACTAGTCGGAGGAGTCGATTGCATGGTCAGATCGTCCCCATCCTATCGGAAACCTGAAACCCTCGAGGGAAAGTCGGAGGAGGAAGACAGACCAGAGGCAGACGCGAGGCTACTAGTAGTAACTACTTGTAGTAACTACTTACTTACTTGGTGATTGTTGTTTGTTTGTTGGGTGGCCTGTGTGTGAGTGAGTGAGTGAGTGAGTGTGTGTGCACCGGATCTTGTAATCACATTACCATACGGAAACCCACCCACTCACTTCAATTGGATCTGACGACGACGACGCAAGCCTGCCGTGCCGCAGAGCTTCTGGAAGACTGGCAGAATCCGCAGGAATTTCCAGCAGCAGGAAGTACGAACCTTGTTGAGCTTGTGGTGGTGGTTAACTTGCTGTTAGGAAGAACTCTCTACTAGTTAGTTTGTAAATAAGAAATGTCATGTCAGTAGCCTGTCAGTCAAAACTGTGTCTTGTCTTGTCTTGTCTCTCTTCCTGACTGTCAATCAAGACTTCATCTTGGGTTTATCTGGGGAATTCTGCTAGTGATTTCAATTCTCCATCTTCTGCCCGCATTGTCCACGAACCTCTTCTCCCTCTAGTCTCTAAGGTCTTCTTCCTCTTCTCCTCACCTCTCCCGTCCTCTTCTTTCTCTTCCTTCTCGGTCTTCTCTCTCCCTTTTGCTTGGTTCCTCACCACCACCACTACCACTTACCACCCTCGGTCATTCTCTCAACTCTCCTTCTTTCTCTGGTCTCTCTTTCTCTCTCTCTCTCTCTTATTTCTCTTTCTTCACCCTTTCCTTATCATCTTCTACTCTTTCTTACATAACTCAAAAAAACTTTCTGCTCCATCCACTGTTCCTTTGACATCACCCGTGTCTCCTCTCTTGACATCCTCTCTTATCTCCAACTTTCTCACTCTCTGATCCTTGGGTCCCTTTTCCCCTTGATTTCCCCACGACCACCACCACCACGATCTACTGATTTCATATTTTATTCCCCGTTTCTCCTTCCCCTCGATTTCCGAGAAGTGGTTCACTGGGGGTAAAAAAAAATTACAGATCCCTTAAAATATCTATTTTATTTTTATATATTTTATTTTTTGCCCTTTTGCTTTTGCCTAATCCATCCTCTTTTTTTTACTCTGCCACAACCCACGTCCCAGCCCAGACCCGACCCGGTCGAACCATCCACCCAAGCCAACCTTCGCCCACCCGTGCGGCCCCTTCGCCCTCTCCTCCCGATCGATCTTCTTTTCCCTCTCCACCCTTCTTCTTTCCTCAAAGTCTCGTGTCATCTTTTCTCCGTCTGGTCCTCACGGTGGCCCACCATGACGCCCTAAGTCTTTGGTCTTTCCTGGGTCGCGAATTTCGTCGCTTTCATCTAGCCGAATTCTCGCATGTGTCGCGATCTCTCTGTCTTCCCCCGTTGGGTCGATTTCACTCGGGCGCCATCTCCCTTCCCCCCCCCGTGGGTGACGAACTGACTACACACCACCACCTTCACCTTCACCACCACCTCTACCACCACCACCTCTCCTACCATTGACCGAATTTCTACCAATCTCTTCGCCATCTTGCTCTTCTTCTTACCTCTGTCGATCCTCTTCCGCACTTGTGAGTGAAACAATCCTGTGTGTTTGCGTGGGCAACTGCCTGTGTATGCAGGTGTGGCGATCGCAGCCAACCGCCGTCTGGAGGCGTGCATGCGGTGCCGGTGCAAAAGAACCCGGTTGTCTCAGAAAGGGTTTTGGCTGGTCCTGCACGTTACCATCATTCCTTTCAAAACCCCCCCCCCCCCCCCCCCCCCCACAGGGAAGAAGGATTATCGCTCATTCTCCTGCTGGACAGCTGCAGCCAACAAACTCATTGTTCAACTGCGCGCACCCCCCTCGACGGCGGCTTGTCGCCGTCGCTCATCTGCTTCGCTCGTCGCTGCACGCTCTTCTTTCTCTATTTGTCGCCTGCTTCTGTCGTCGCTCGCATCTTCTGCAGACCGTTGCGTCCAGTCTCTGAACCTCGCTGACCCAGTCTAGAACCCAATTTAGAATCCAACTGTATAACGTCACCGATCGCAAGTCTCTCCTTTTTTTTTTTACTTCGACCTTCTCAACGCTCCTTCGCTCCTCTTTGTACCCTTATACCGGCCGTTCGTTTCTCCCTGAGATATCTCGACCCTCCCACTCCACCTGTACTACCATATCCATCAACCATATGAACCCGAGTTCGGACCGGCTAGGCTGCTATCTCTTCTCCTTTCACATCTGTTGCTGTCCCGAGACTTGACATTTTCGGAGTGGAGACCCCCTAGGTGATGGGTGTTTCAAATCCAACCGACACCATGGATGGCATCGAATGCTCTGCAATTTATATCGACCACCGCGTCCGATCAGAACGCTGGGTGTATCAAGGTACACCGGAGGCACCGGCAGGCGCGGAGTCGGATTCGGGAATAATCGAGGAACCAGAGTCGCTGTCGTCCGACGTCCAAGTTCTGTTAGGAGTTTGTAAACGCATCTATCTCTGTCAGGTCGGCACAGCTATCGCAAATAAGTTAGCAGAGATAAGCGACGGGGCTCAGAGTCGCTGCACACCTATTTTCGTTTTCTTCGATATCGATATTCACGGCGAGGAGGCCGCTCTGCAGCGCCGCCGAGCAAGCCGTGGTTCGTGGCCGGATGTATCGCCTCCGTCGCCGGCTTCCCTGCGTCGCGGCTTTACATTCACCTCACAGTGGGAAGGGGCGTACGACCTGAAGTTGTTGTCGGGATTGTCCGCGGACATCCAGGTTCAAGATGGCCCCAATGTGATCGTTCCGGTCGCTGTTCTGCGCCCTCCCTTCGCCGATCCCACTAGCGCCTCTCCGGCCGACCAGCCCCGTATTCCGTCTTTCCCTGATCCCCAGCATATCTCCAAGTGCCTGGATGCCGGTGCCGTGGACGTGTTAGTAACTCCGCTGGATAGCTGTAGAGCTCAAGCTCTGGTTGTCCAGGCGTACCGGACTCGTAAAACGGCTCTCCGGGAACAGTCGCGCTTCCTCTCCCGAAAGAAACTGCGGAAGCACTCTTGGGTGGGCGTTAACGACGAGCAGCCTTATGCGTATCTTCGAGAAGCCATGGTCTCCAAGCTTATGCGAGGCATCTGCAATCCCGAAGAGGTTATCGAAGAGTTTCAGGACCGGGAACTGGACGTTCGTCCCGACCGTGCGGATTTTGTAAGAGAACACATTGCACAATGGGGTTTTACCGCCCATGAGTTTTCGGACGACGAATTGGTCTTGGCTGCATTCGAAATGCTGCAGCATGCTCTGCAGTACCCGGAACTGGAGCAGTGGCAGCTGACACCAGGTAAGTAAATTTGCCGCACATATCATTTTAGTCTAGGTCAACTGACGATTGAACTTCCTTTGCTAGGTGAACTTCGGACGTTTCTCCTGGCCTGTCGCGCCTCATATAATTCATTCGTCCTCTACCATAACTTCCGACACGCGATCGATGTGTTGCAGTCGGTTTTCTGCTTCCTGTTGCACATCGGCGCTCTTCCCCCCTATGGGCCCAATAGCCCGACGATTGACGACAAATGTCCGATGGCCTCCCTCCTCACACCGTTCGATACCCTTACCCTTCTGATCTCCGCCATTGGCCATGATGTCGGCCATCCGGGCGTGAACAACTTTTTCCTAGTCAAGCTGAATGCCCCGCTGGCACAGCTATACAACGACAATTCAGTCCTGGAGGCATTCCACTGTGCTGCCTTTTCACAGATCCTGCGTCGCTACTGGCCGACCGCGTTCAAGGATCGACAACTTCGCAAGCTTCTGATCAGCTCCATCCTCGCTACCGACATGGGAGTGCACCAGAAATTCATGGAACGGCTCGGATCGCTCCAGGAGAAGTTCCACGAAAACAACCGGACCGTGGACGGGTGGAAGCCCCAGGACTTGGAGCTTTATAAGACACTGCTGTGTGGGCTGCTGATCAAGTGCGCTGATATCAGTAACGTGGCGCGCCCGTGGGATGTTGCGGAGAAGTGGACCCAGATCCTGCAGGAGGAATTCGCCAATCAGGGCGAGATGGAGAAGGAGGTTGGGATGGAGACTGCACTATTCGGCGGCCCACCGGAATTGGGGAATATTTACAAGCTCGCCACCGGCCAGATTGGATTCATGTCGATTTTCGCTCTGCCGCTGTTCGAGGGCGTCTCTGATATCCTGCCCGACCTGAAGTTCACGGTCGAGCACATCCGCAGCAATCAGTCCAAATGGCACTTCCTCGCCGACATGGAGAAGAACCGGCAAACCTTGCAGATTGATCTTCGCCCGGACGATCTGGTGTCGCCCCGCACTCAGAGTCCCATCCCGAGTTTGAGGGGCCTCCACGCGCCGCTAGCCATCAATAGTCCGAAAATGCCCATCAAACCAGCCCTTCCGACCAGTGAACCTGTGAGTCAGCGGTCAACCGCAGATGATTACTTTGGTACTGCTTCTACCCCGCTGGCCTCGGATGATTCTCCCAGCGACTACAATGAGAATACCATTAGCCCAGTTGTTTCGCCGGACACCCCGGGCCCGCCTATGGACATCACCGGTTGTTCGATGCCGTCGCCAGATGAGGCCGCCTCCCGGAGATCTTCGGGGGTCATCCCTGAGGGGCAGACCAACTCGCCTTCTGCCCGTCTGAGCGATAATATGGACGGCTGCTCCGACGCGATTCGTGCTTCGAGTGACCCCACTGTCCTGGCGGCTGTTCTCTTTGCCAATGGATCTGCTGCAGGCAACGGCGACACGTCGGGTCGCTCCAGCGCTCGTAACAGCTCCGTGGAAGGAAGACCGAGTAGCTCGCGACATGGGCCGCCCAGTGGTCGACGCCAGCACGCGAATACAGCCTCGTCGGGACGCACATCGGGGCCCTCGAATTCACAGCGGAACAGTTGCACTCGCACCCACAGCGTCAGCACCTACAGCAATAACATGACTCCGATCTCCCCGTCTACGAATGCCACTAGCTTCCTCAGCGTGGACAGCGACGAGAAGGGCTTCCCCCGCGAAAGCATCAGCCGGAGTGACGGCGAATGGGACCGGGCCAACACGCGACCGGCCACATCGAACCATCCATCGGTCAACGCTGCATACCCGAGCACCCGCCGGGCTTCCGATCCGCACAATTACGATGCTGCCAAGGTGACGTCGCCGGTGGGGTATGGAACGAGCAGCTCGGCACAATCCACGACAACGACTGGAAGCATGAAGCACGAGGGGCGTGGGCCCCGGTGGGACGAGCACGGGTCCAAGGAGCACGCACCTCCGCGCAAGTTGCCGAAGCGACGAAGCCGACTGCGGCTGGCGTTCTGGAAGCGGCGCACACATCACTCGCATCAGCACGAGGTGAGCGGAGAGACGTGATGGCACGGAAAGTTGATTGGATTTCAGTTTTCTCTTGTTTTCTCGGTTGGGATGATTCACGGTGTTCCTGGCAGGTTGGATTTTCGCGAGTGAGCAAAACGAGGGTTGGGATTACATGGGCACATATGAATGGGAAACATTCTGGTGACGACTCTGGATTTTATGATGGAATTGCATGATTTGACGACCGGCTCGGTGGATATAGCTATATCTGAGCTTTTTGACGATGATGCTCAGCCAGACATTGTCTGGTCTGGCTGGCATAGCACTTTACTTCTTCGATACTCTTCTTTCTTTCATTCTCTTCTTCCGATCTTTTTACATTTTTCACTTCACTTTATTCATTTTACACATTGACCATTTTCATTTTCATTTGTCACCATACAGAGGCGGACAGGACGGGGCAACTAGAGACGGGGCGTGGACTGGCGTTCTGGAGGTGGCTCAGGCAGGACTGTACTTGATATTTGTATGGGTTTTATATTTTCTATCTTTTTTTAAATGGACTTGAGCATATATGCTTGTTTGCATTTACATGATTCTTCTATCATTGACGGAAGTAGACGGTCACTGACACTCCTCACACTTCTCTTCTCCTTTCGTAGCAGTAGCAGCAGCAGCAGTAGTAGACTCCTGCTCCTGACTCTTCCCCACGACCTTTTCATCCCCATCCCGACTCTGCACCGGCACATTCGCAGCCCTCAAAGCCCGATCCGTATGTCCCAAATCCCTACTCGGATCGACGACATTCCTCACCAGACTTTTCAGCACTTTGACTTCTACAGAAATAGCCAATTGCCCATTAGTCACCTACCCAATCCCATCTCTACCCATACAATAGAATTACAAAAAAAGGAAAGATACATACCAGGAAACCCCCCATTCGTCTTCCTATCCCAGAGAATAGTCCCAGTGATATCAACATCCTCACCTCCAGTACCTGTACCTGTACCTACCTCTTCCCCTTGCGTACCCGTCGAAGAAGTAGAAGTAGAAGAAGAATGATACATCGTAACAGTAAACACACCCCCGGTAGCAGGAACGAGAGCTACTTCGCCGAGTTGGGTGCTGAATGTGGAGAGGAGTTCTTGGGCGAACTGTTCCACATATCAATTAATTAATCAATTTACATTAGTGTATATATATATATATATATGTGTGTGTGCGTGTGTATGTATGTATGTATACGGATGGACATGTAAGGTACGCAGGGGGGTGGGAAACTCACGTATGCAGCGCGCAGTAACCATTTACATTGGGTGCAGTATTTGATGGTGATGCGGGGGAGGTGGTTGTGCATATTTCCTTGTGGTGTTGTTGTTGTTGTGGTTGTGGTTGTGGCGGTGGTGGGTTGGGTGTGGGGTGGGAGGGGAGAGGTCATTTTCTTTTCTTTTCTCTCTCTCTTTTGTTTATATCTTTGGTGGTGGTGGTGGTGGTGGTTGTGGTGAAGCTGAAGAGGGAACGGGGGAGTTAATTGTGTGAAGAAGAGGAGGAGGGGGATGATTGGATGATGTCAGCGGGTGGGTAGGTGGTGGTGGTGGTGGTGGGTTTTAACTACTTAAGTTAATAACTTGTCAACTATAATGTCTAATGTACGGCCAGTGCAGGTGTCAATCTTAAAAAAGTATTCTCCGAAGTCCGGGTCGTTGCATATGATCCATTCTGTGATCTACCTTTTCTTTCTGCACATCCTCTGGGTTGCTGCAATTACTATGTGGTATAAGTATGAGCAGTTGCTTCAACTATATTAACTAGCCCATCTATACTACAAACCGGGCGTCCGATTTTGTTTTCCCCATCCCGTTTCCAATATCACTGCTAAAACAAAGGAAAGATGTCCAATAAAATCACTAGAAGGGAAATGACTCCTGTCGAGCACTCTCTCACGCCCAACACAAAATGAGAAAGGAAAAAAAGTAAGGGAAAAAAGGTGTAACTGGAAGCCCACGGGGAGGCGTGTCGCGTTTCAAGGCGAAAAAAACAGATCATGAACTGGTCCAATGGTGTGACCGCTCAGTCCCTCCCAGTTCATGCAGGTCCAGCGCGCTCCCTCGAGGGCCAGAGCCTCGCATCCGCTTCTCCGTGGTCACTTTTCTTCTTTTCGTCGCTGACAATGCTCACCATTCGGAGCAACAAAGCGGATGGGCTGTCCATAGGTCCAAGGTATGGTGACAGAGAATTAGATATAGAAAGAAAAAGAAAGGGTCGAGAAGTTAAAAAAAAGAAGTGGTGAGAAATAGTAATTGTCATCGCAAGAGGGGATATAAAAGCGCCGACGGACTGACGGCGACCCTCAGTCCGTCCGAATCAAAAGACGTGGAAATGTCATGAAACCATTACATGACCGTGCAGCATCCTCCCTGCTGCTGAGGGGCGTATGGGTCCTCACGCTTGTCGACCTGCGCGACCGTCAGTAACCTGCCGTTATTCTTGCACAACCGAAAATGGCGGAGATGATATCGCATACCTGACCCCATACGGATGGTACCATGAAATCGCGCGTGTTGTTGCAGTAGTTGATCAACCTGGATAAAACGCGACGGGGG